CAAAACTAAATGGGGACCAAATGCAAGTTGAAATTTCATCCTATGTTGTAGGATAAAAAATAGACAAAAATTGCTTTCATTTTATGATTGTATTTTGTGCTAAAGTGAAAAAAAAAACCTAAAAATTTTGAGTTTTATTTCTGAAATGTGAAATATAAGATTTTAGGATCTATTGCAGGGGTCCCAAACCCCCGGGCCGTGGACTGTTAAGAACCGGGCTGCACAGCGGGAGGTGAGCAGCTGGCAAGCCAGCGAAGCTTCAATTGCTGCTCCCCATCGCTCCCCATCGCTCAGATTCGTCCATGGACAAATTTTCTTCTGTGAAACCGGTCCGTGGTGCCAAAAAGGTTGGGGACCACCTATCTATTGGGAGGTACTTGTCAACAAATAACATATTACAGATACAATCGGTCTGACTTTCTGGTAAATAAAAACCCAGATTAGATTGAATTATCATTAGACTTTATTTTTTTAAACACTGGCTTTTGACATATGAGTCACTAATGACTTTGTTGTTGTTGTTGTTTTTAACATTTATTTATTTGGCTGCACCAGGTCTTAGTTGCGGCAGGCAGGCCCTTTAGTTGCAGCATGTGAACTCTTAGCTGCAGCAGGCATGTGGGATCTAGTTCCCTGACCAGGGATCGAAACCCGGGCCCCCTGCATGGGGAGCGTGGAACCCTATCCACTGTTCCACCAGGGAGGTCCCTCACTAATGGCTTTTGATTAGAAGACTATAACATTCTTTTCTGATGATGATCAACCACAGGTAAATTTGCAAAATTATTATTCTTTCCTCAGCATTAGAGTTTTGTAGTTTAGCCATCAGTACTCCTCATGCTTCCTGTCATAGATCTCGTGGTCCAACGTGGCTATTAATTAAACAACCTATAAATAACTAAGACTGAAAAAAATTTAAGCTGTTTAATGGTAGAAACCGTGACAGTGTCCATCGGCCCTCCACCCATGAACCCCCCCGCACCACACATGCACCTGGAGGTGTTCCATGGTACCATTTGAAAGGGGAAAATAATAGAATACTTTATTTATTTATTTTTAATATATTTGTTTATTTGTTTTTGGCTGCGTTGGGTCTTCGTTGCTGCGCGTGGGCTTTCTCTAGTTGTGGAGAGTGGGGGCTACTCTTCATTGCGGTGCTTGGGCTTCTCATTGTGGTGGCTTCTCTTGTTGTGGAGCACGGGCTCTAGGTGCGTGGGCTTCAGTAGTTGTGGCACACGGGCTTAGTTGCTTCACGGCATGTGGGATCTTCCCGGACCAGGGTTTGAACCCATGTCCCCTGCATTGGCAGATGGATTCTTAACCATTGTGCCACCAGGGAAGCCCTAGTGATTGATTTAAAAAGAAAGAAATTAAGACCAGTGCCATATCCACTTTTAATGGTATGAACTCTTTGGAACTCCTGGTTGGAAATGTGCATCATCCCCCAGCCCTCTTATTTTTCTCAGTGATGCAGCTGAGGCTCAGGGAGAGGAAGGAAGTTGTCCAAGGTCCCAGAGCAAGTGTGTAACAGAGGAAGGACGAGAACCATGGCTCTTATTCCTTACACTGGGTTTGGCTGGCCTGAGCCTGTCATACCTCACACCTGCTCCCCGCCCATAGCCTGTGTGCTAAGATATGAATGCAGAGAAATTAATTGGATTTGTGTGTGTGGCTTATGGAATTAGTGACACTCTTTATGTGGTGACAGATTGTTTGTTCATTTATCCATTCGATTGATCAACTGCTTTCTAGGCAACATGCAAGGGACTGCTCACCCAGCCCCGGTCTCCCTGTTTGGCTTCACCTCCCACCCCTGCCCTCCTGCCCAGTTCACACCTCCTACATTCTGCTTATACTGGTTCAGGTATTTGTTTCCTCCAGAAGCTTTCTCTGCCTTCCCCAAGTTTGGCCTGGGTGCCCTTCCTCCCTGCACCCCGTCCCAGCCTGTATCACACAGTATTATAGTTGCCTGTCTACTTATCTACAGGCTAAGTAGGCTCACTTCTCGGACTAAGCACCATGCAGGCAAGAACCATCTCGTTCACCGCCCTGCTCCCAGTGCCCAGGGCCTGACCCATAACAGGTGACCTGTGAATATCAATGCAGTTAATTATTGGCTCTGCCATTTCCTGTGCCCTCATGCCACACACAGGGCCTCTGCAGAGGGTGTTTCTTCCCCCACCATCAGTGCTTCCCTCCTTAAATTGTCAAGACCTAGGTCAAACATCTAAAACAATCAACAATTCTGTAAAGACTTTTCCCTCAACAGTCCCCTACCACACACGGTTAGTCCTTCCTTCTCTTGCTCCCATTCTCCCTGCCATCTCATGCCACTTAGGACACAACTGTCCCTGTGAGCAGTGACTTGTATCTTTTATGCTGGCCCCCTGGCACCTACACAGTGTCAGATACTGGTCAAGATGCTTAGAATTCAGCAGTGAACCCAGCACACAAAAATCCCTGTCCTTGGGCTTCCCTGGTGGCGCAGTGGTTGAGAGTCTGCCTGCCGATGCAGGGGACACGGGTTTGTGCCCCAGTCTGGGAAGATCCCACATGCCGCGGAGCGGCTGGGCCCATGAGCCATGGCCGCTGAGCCTGCGCGTCCGAAGCCTGTGCTCCACAACGGGAGAGGCCACAGCAGTGAGAGGTCCGCAAAAAAAAAAAAAATCCCTGTCCTTACAAAGCCCACTTTCTAGTTGGGAGGGCAGACTACAAATAAAATAAGTAAAACGTAGAGCATGTTAGGAAGACGGGACTAAAGACTGTTAGAGACTTCCCTGGTGGCGCAGTGGTTAAGAACCCAGGAGACCTGGGTTCGAGCCCTGGTCCGGGAAGATCCCACATGCTGCAGGGCAACTAAGCCCGTGTGTCACAACTACTGAGCCCGCGAGCCACAACTACTGAAGCCCGCATGCCTAGAGCCCGTGCTCTGCAATGAGAAGCCCTTGCACTGCAATGAAGAGTAGCCACCACTCACCGCAACTAGTGAAAGCCCCTGCGCAGCAATGAACACCCAAAAAAAACCACAAAATAAAAGTCGAGATATGGCGGTGGGGGATGGGGGGAGTTGTGAGGATATGAGGGGTGGAGGACAGAGCTCCAGACCTGCACTAGCTGGGCAAAGGTCTAGAGGCTGGTGGGAGGGGACTGACTGCTATCAAGTTACAGCAAGGAGGCTGGTGTGGCTGGAGAGGCAGTGAGCAAAGGGGATGGCGTAGAAGGTGAGGTCAGAGAGGTAAAACAGCCCTCCAGATCACATAGGCTTTCCGGTCATAAGAAGGACGTTAGCTTTTGCTCAGAGCTAAGAGGCACTGGTGGGTTTTTAGCAGAGAAGTGGCATGATCTCGTTCCCATTTTAATAGGATCACTCGATGCTATATTGAGAAAAGACTGAAGTGGGAGAATGATATAAACAAGTGAGGGGCCTATTATGACAATCCAGGTGAGAGGTGGTGGTGCTTGGATCAAGGTGGTAACAGGAAGGTGAAGTGTGAAGGATGTGAAAGTGAAGAGTTAAGAATGGCTCCAATGATTCTGACCTGAGCATCAGGGAGGATGGAGCTGCTACGATCTGAGATGGGGGAGACTGTAGAGAAGCAGGTTTAATAGGGAGGATCAGAGCTCAGTTTGGGACCTGTTAAATTTGTTTTTGTTTTTTAAAATTTTTTGGCCAAGCTGAGCGGCTTGCAGGGATCTTAGTTCCCTGGCAGTGAAAGCACGGAGTCCTAACCTCTGGACCACCAGGGAATTCCCTGGACAGGTTAAATTTGAGATGCCTATTAGCCAATGGAAATGTTGAGCAGGTAGATGGATACACAAGTCTGGAGTTCAGGGGAGATGGTCCAGGCTCAGATACAAACGTAGGCATCTTCAGCATAAAGATGTAATTTAAAACCTTGATGACCAGATGAGACCACTAAGAGAAACAAGTAGGAGTGATGGGCTAAGTCAAATGCTGCTGATGGGCCTGGCAATGAATGAATAAATACCAGATCCCTTTAGACCCGCAAAGTGCTGGTCATTATTGAGGGTTAGCTAGCAACAGATGGGTAAAGTACCTTCTGGGTACAGAGACAAAATGGCTGTAAGCCATGGGAACACTGGAGATAGAGGGGATGCAGAACCATGGCGTCTTGGTCTTGGAAAGGACATTAAATAGGTTATTCAATCTGTACTCTTCTCCCTACACTTTGCCTGATCATTGAACCCCTGGCTTTAGAAAAAGAACTGTTTGTGGGATACTGAGACAACCAGTCTGGTTAGGACAGAGAAAGCACAGTTGAAAAATGAGTGGGAAATGACCTTCTGGAGTCAGAAAATCAGGGTTCAGGTCCTGCATCTGCTGCTCCCTAGCCTTGGGTCCTTAAGCAAGTCACTTCACCTCCTCCAGCCTCAGTTTCCCTGCATGTAAAGATGGGAGTAATCAAACCTTCCTTGTCTCTCCCAGGGTTGCAGAGAAGTCTGAGTGTGGCAGTGCTTGGGGTAGAGTAAATGCCCTGCTGCGGTTGGTTATTCCAAGAGCAAAAGAAGCAGGTCCAGAGAAGCCATCAGCTTGGAACGGCGAGGTAAATGGGGATGAGGAGGGAACTGCCATGTCCTCAGCGGGTCTGCAGGTGGAGAAGCTAATGAGGATTCAGGCCAGGACCTGGGCTGGAATGGACTGGCTCAAGTGGCAAGATGGGGTCATCGGACAGAAACCCAGGCCTTGAATCTGCCTCCAGTGAGCCTGGAACCGAGATGTTGGAGACCCTGAGGCAGCGGCAGAGAAAAGAAATAGAGACACCGAGGCAGAAAGAGACCCCGAGACAGAGAGACGAAGAGACAGACCCAGAAACAAGCTGCCCAAATGGGGGGGCCCATGGCGATCCGGAGAGGGCGAGGCAGAGGGGCGCAGACCCCAGCAGAGCTGAGACCCTGCGCGGCGCAGGTCACAGCGCGCGGGCCGGAGTCCCCTGCGGGGCCCGACCGGCCGCGCCCGCTGGGCGCCCCCGTCCGGGCTGCTCGCCCAAGATGGCGATGGAGGGGCGGGCGAGCCGGCGGCAGCCCGGGCCCCCGCGCCGGCCCCCGCTCGGGCCGGGGCCCCCGAGGCCGCGCCCCCGCCCGCGGCGCCGCGCCTCCCCGGGCCACTGAAGCCCGGCGCGCCCTCCCCCGGCAGCGGCGGCTGAGGCGCGGGGAGGAGGAGGCGGCGGCGGCGGCGGCAGCCCGGGCCCGGCCCCATGGCGCGGGGGGACGCTGGCTGCGGCGGCAGGCTCCTCGCGCTGACCTTCTGCCTGCTGGCCGCTCGCGGTAAGGGCGGGCGCTGAGGCAGTGGCGGGAGCGGCTCCGGGGTGACTGTGCGTCGGCACCCGGGGCTGCGCCGGCTGTGGGGCCGGCGCGTCCCGAGTCCCGAGCGAGCGCTGGGGCCGGGGGAGGCGGGGGGGGGGGGGGGGGGCGGGCTGCGCGTCCTTGTGCCCGCGATGCGTGCGCTCTGGGGTCTGCGAGCCGCGGCCGGGGACGTTTGCGGCGCGTACTTGTCCGCAGGGGGTGTGTGTCCTTGGTCTGCGGAGTCCGGAATGAGTGTGAGTGTGTGTGTGTGTGTGTGTGTGTGTGCGCGCGCGTGTGCGCGCGACCGCGTGCAGAGAGTGGGGAGGGGGCTTCTGTGGGGCGTACGTGTCCGCAGCGCGTGGCCGGTCGCGGCGTGGCATCGCGGGCCGTAGCTGAGGTGCCGGTGGTTTGTGCGGGGCGGGCTCTGCCTTTACCGCGCGTGTCTCCGGGTTGGGAGTGTAAAGGGGGGTGTGTGTGGGGGGGTGTCTGCACCTCCATTTGTGTGGCGAGAGCGTGTATAATTGTGTTTATGGGGCTGAGCTAATATTTGGCCTTGGCTTTCGGAGAGTGTCCATGCCCTTGGTGGGGGGACAGAAGCATGAGATTGCGAATTGACTGGGAATAGTGGTGATAAAATACTCAACTTTGTCCGGTGGGTGTGGTCCCTGAAGCTGGGTGGGGCTGGGCGGAGGGGGTGGGGAGCGCGGGAGTGTTGCCCGCTCCGAACCCGAGGCCGGGAGTGGGCTGGGGGAGGGCGCAGGAAACCAGTTGCTTTCGTGGACATGTCCGACACCCGCTCTCAGGATGGGACGCGTGTCACTCCTGCCCCACCCCCAGGGGCAGATCTGAGAAGCGTGGACGGGGTCAGCAAGGCCTCCTCCAACCCCCCACCTCAGTGCGAGGTGAGGGTGGGTTAAAGTCAGAGTTGCCCTCGCTGGAGAGAGGACTGGGGATGGGGTGACGGAGTCCCAAGCGTCTCTGCCTAGGGAGCCTTCTTCCACCCCCAGCCCTCTCCCTTTCGGTCCTGTGTGCGTTTCGGGGCGGCCCGTGGGCTAGGTGGTTGGTAGGGCTGGGGAGGGGGATGGGCTGCCCGCTTTGTTCGCCTAGTTCTCGCCTTCCCAGCCGAGGGGGGAGCTGAGGATGTGTCCGGAGCCAGTCGGGGAGGGACTTGATGGTGGGGGTGGGGAGGGGGATTTCTCTCCAGCTGCTGTGGCTTTCTAGAGAGACTCAGCCAGGCCACGTGGGAAGGAGGCAGGGACGGCGGAGGGGGGAAGGAGCCTCCGCCTGGCCCGCCCCGGCCCATCTCCAGGAAGCCCAAACAGCGGGTGGGAAAGTCTCGGGAACTACTCGGACCCCCTCTCTGCCTACAAAGACACGCCCCTTTTCAGACCTGACTGCGGACCCGGCAGGAGGCCGCCCGGGGGCGGGGTCCCGGCGGCTAGGCTAGGGAAGTGGGGGGCCCGCGGTTGTCAGGTGGAGGGGGAGGGGAAGTGCCAGAGAGGCGTCTGTCCTCCTGGAGGCCAGGGGATTAACGAATAGTTGGGCCCACCCTCTTCTGCTCTTCTGAGAGCTCCGGACCGGGCTCGGGGTCATCTAGCAAAGCGGAATCAGGACTGGGAACTGCACTCACTCGGGCATTATGGAGTATCGGTGGGGCCTCCCTACGAGGGTCTCAGTTTTCTCTCTGGGGTTCCCGAGTGCCCAAGGCAGGGGCAGGGCCCGAGCTGGGGCTCCCTTGGCAGCAGTGTGCATGGCTGAAGCAACTACTCTGCTCGCCCTCCGTCCTAAATCCTTTGAGTGTGCAAAGCTCGTCAGGCTTGGGGACACTCCTATAGAGTTCTGACTAGCCTCCCCGATCTGGACGGAGGCCATTTATTCATTCATTCAACAAATATTTAGTGAGTACCCTTTTCGGCTAGCACGTGACTGGTGCCTGAAATATAGTAAATAAGGAGGAGACTGACAGGTAGTCTAGAAAGGTCAGGAAAGGCTTCCTCCAGGAAGCGGTAAATAATAGAGCTCAGTGCAGAGGGTCAGTTGGCCCTGCAGGAGAGTGATGATGGGGTGAGTTTTTCAGAGAGAACAGCATGTGCAAACGCTCAGGGGTGACTTCGTTTAGACCACTGAATGAAGCTAAATCTGGCTGGAGTTTAGAGCACAAGGCAGGAGGGTGGGGCAGGTTAGAGAGGAATGGGACAGGGGCCACAGAGTGTCAAAAGAGAAGGCTGAAGATGGAGGCTGGACCCAACTCATGAAGGGGCTTGTAAGCCCCACCAAGGTTTCTGGCCTGAGAGGCTGCATGAGCCCTTGGAGGGTTTTAAGATCAGCTTTGCATCAGCTCACTCCAGCCGATGTGGAGAATGATTGGACAGGATGGAGGCAGGAAGCTGCAGCTTCTTGGGAGGCTGTGGTAGTAGTCCAGAAGAGAGGATGTTGCTGGCAACTAGAGTAGTGGCAATTGGGATGGCTACAGTAGATTCTAGAATATTTAGGAAGTAGAATCGGCAGGATGTGAGGATAGATTGAGTTTGTAGGGAGTGAGGGAGAGAGAAGTAAAACATAATAGACACTTCAGCAGCCTCGACATGGCAAAATGAAGGGCTGGTGTTGGAGTTAAGATAGTGACTGCCCATCTCCCCTGAACACTGCTCTTGGGCCAGGGCTTGGGAACTGGGGAGATGTATGCGAATGGGACTCCTGTCTGGGGGTGGTGGTGGGATGCCAAATGCTCTGTTTTCACCACATGCAAGAAGTGGGGTTCTCCCTTCCACCCAGTCAGAATTTGGGGGGTGGTGATGCCAGAGGTCAGTAGCAGGAGGGCTCTAAGAACAAGAGAGCTGCTTTCTCCTCACCGGGGAAACTCCCCCCTCCATCCCTTTCTCAGCCCAGAAGCTCAGAGACCAACTTCAGTTAGTTGGGGTGTTGGGGCCCTCTCTGACCTCATCTTGGAGGTTAGGAACCAGGTCAAATATATTGTCTTGGCCAAAAAGTTCGTACGGGTTTTTCCATAAGAAAAATGTTACGGAAAACCTGAACAAATTTTTTGGCCAACCCAATAGTTTCTCTTAATAGTGAATCTAAATTATCCAGAAGTTATCTAAACCTTCATTGATCCTGTATGTATTTTCATGGCCCAAGTAATCATACATTATGTGTAAATCAGCATTTCCTTTCTTTTCTCCTAAAGGTACATTGTTTCAAGTTGAGTAATCCCACAATTAGCGTCATTGAATGTCAGCACTGAGGGGAACTTAGAAATAATTTTAGCATGAACCCATTTTACAGATGAGAAAACTGAGTGACTTCCCAGAGTTACATGGATGGGGACTGAACTGGGACTGGAACCAGTCTCCTGGCTCTTGGAGCAGCCGTACTTTCCCGGGATTTGGTACACATGAACGCAAGTTCAGTCTCTCTTCACCCCCTCCCCCTCACCTGAGAAGTTATCAACAACTTTGGGCTTGGCCCCCCTCAGGTGGTGTGTTTGGGTCTGGGCTCTGGAATCCACTCTGCTCCACCCATCCCCACCCACCGCATCCTGTTCTGCCTCCGCTGTTTCTGAGGTACAGAAACCAGACTTGACACAGAATTCCAGATGCAGAACAGATGTCATTGCCAAGCAGGCCTGGGGGCTCCCAGCTCCCCGGGTTGGGGGGAGGGAAGAGAAAGAGTGGTTCTGATGGGGGAGGACCCCAGCCCCAGCCTGGTCAGAGGTGGGTGACGGCACCTGAGGGGAGAGAAGAAAACCAGAGAGAGGATGACCTAGGCCTGACGTCCTTGTCCTCGGGGCTGGCTGTGCTGCCAGCTAAAAGTGCCTCACTGCTGAGGCTGAGGCATTCCTCTGGAATTGAGGGGCTGTGGGGTCACTGTGGTCCGGGAAGCCGAGGCTCAGTAAATTCTCTCTCAGGTGCAGACCTGAGCATGGACGCTGATGCAGAGCCAAGACTTCCAGATGGTTCCATAGGGGCTCATTACCTTGTCACTTAGTTTGGAGCTCTGGCAAATGAATGGAGCATAGAGAGACAAGGTTGGGCACACAAGGAAGGTATTTTTTTTTTATACATCTTTATTGGAGTATAATTGCTTTACAAGGGTGTGTTAGTTTCTGCTTTATAACAAAGTGAATCAGCTATACATATACATATATCCCCATATCTCCTCCCTCTTGCGTTTAAGGAAGGTACTTTTAATCAGACCATCCGTATAGCAGAAGAGGTGAGGTCGTGAGCTCCCCAGTCCTGGTAATGTTTAAGTAGAAGAGTTTCTTTCAATGTGAGTTTGCTGTTCTGTCTCGGTGCTGCTTTTTTTTTTTTTAATTTATTTTTTGGCCACGCCAGGCGGCTTGCGGGATCTTAGTCCTTAGTTCCCTGACCAGGGATGGAACTTGGGCCCAAGGCAGTGAAAACGCGGAGTCCTAACCACCAGACCACCAGGGAATTCCCCGTCTTGGTGCTTTTTAAGCATTTTGTTACGTGTCTCATAGGTGCCACATAGTGTGCTAGGCAGTTTCCACGTATACTATCCACATCATCCCCAGCCCTGAAGGGAGTTCCTATAATTTTTCCAGATAAGGAAACTGAGGCTTGGCAAAGCATGAGGGGCTCTGTGTCTTATCTTTTTGAGTGTCTCCGCATGTCCACTCATCTTTTCAAGAACTGTTTATTGAGCGCCTACTATGTGCCAGACAGTGTTTTAGGTCCTAGGGAATTAGAGTGCTGACTAGGACAATAATCTTGGGCTTGTTGCCTCGCTGGCAGAAAGGCAAGTCAAAAATCTAGAGTGCTAATTGCAATGACCCAGGTGCCCAGGGTCCTATGGGGCAGAAAAAAGGAGAGGCGTCTAAATCAGACCCCAGGATGGCACAGCTACTGAAGGAAGAGGGAGCAGCATAGGCAACGCATGGAACAGCAGTGTGCTTTCAGAGAACGGGAAGTGGTTTAGTCTGGTGGGGACCCAGGGTGACAAGGAACAGGAGGTAGGCAGGTCAAGCTGAGTGGCTTTGCTCTCAAGTCTGCTGAGGCTGAGCCTGTCTCCTGAGGATCACAGACGAAGGGAATGCTGCCTTTCCTGTGTCCCAGGCAACCGTCCCAAGTTCTCCTTCCAGCTGTTGTGGGAGGGGCTTAGTGTGTGGTATGGGAGGTGGCCAAGGTGGGGGGCGGGGAAGGAGGTTTCTGGAAGAAACTGGCTTGTGTCTCCTAGGAGAGGAGAGTGGTGATGGCGTCGTGGAGAATTGCCCGTGTGGACCGAAAACAAGTTGTAAATCTGGTGGGCCCTGAGATTAAAAAATGACAAGGCATTGATGTTTGTGGCAAGTTCTTGGCTTAATGAAGGAGGCATCTCGGCTTTGTTCCCCACCCCATCCCCCAGTCCCAGGAACTCTCAGTTCCTGAGAGTTCACTGAAGAATGGAGCCCTGGCTTATGCCAGGCCCGCACTAGTCCCACGAAAGAGCACTGAGCTGGCCCTGGGGCTCAGCAGCGAACCTCCTTTCTGTCTGGGTTCTAATTGGCCTCATAAAATCTAATTTATCCTGTAAATGGGTAAAATAATGTCAGAAGGAGGAGATTGAGAGATGGCCCTGGGGCTCCTAAGCATAGAAACTCCACGTCTCTGGCAGGGTCCCACCGAGGAGACTGAGGAGAAGGGATTGTGGGAGAGGGAGTTCCCCTCGAGGCAGAACGCTGGCCAACAGCAAGTGTCCGCTATGTCCACCCAGTCCTTAGGGGGAGCACTGAGAAGTGCTCCTGGGAGGGCCTTGATGGTCCGCCATGACAGGGGATGGGGGTGGTGGTGGCAGGAAAGGGACAGCCACGAAACCACTGGACAAACAAGGGCCACTCCCCAGAGCATCACTTTTCCAAAAAGATTTGGTGGTGTAGGAACCACATTTACATTAAAACAAACACTGCTGTGTAATGGAATAGGATGCAAAATGTGCCAGAGGTTTCAAAATAAAAACGTTTCAGGTAGTCAGCAAGCCTCCTGAGTACGTTCTCCTCTGCCGCTGGGAGAATTTTGGTGAAAATGAGAAATGTGGCAACTCTTCATTTTAAGACTGGGGAAACCGAGGCTGAAAGGAGGAAAGCGGACCCAATGTCATACAACCCATGATGGACCCAGAACTCTGACCCCAGGCCAAGGCTTGTCCCGCCACATCCCATGGTCCGCCTTAGGCAAGAAGGCAAGAGGAAGAATGGCTAAGGGACCTCCAAGTGGCTACATGATGTGAGACCCAGGAAAACCCTTCTCTGGGGAAGGCAGGGGCAGCTTCACGGAGGGATGTGGCACCTGAGGTGAGCCCCTAAGGATGCACGTCCTGGGCACAGAAGTTGGTTTGGGTGCTGGGGCAGAGAGAACCCTCTTATTTGGGAGCAACTGTCTCCTCAATGCTGGGTTCACGCCCAGGATGTCCCCAGACTGTCTCCCAGAGGGGTGAGAACCTTCCCTTTGGGGCCTCGGTTTCCCCATCTATAAAATGAGCAATCTCAGGCTCTGCATACGTTTCCATCAACGTGGGCCGGCTTGGGCTCCTGGCACAGCCCTGTACCCCCCCAGGGATCCCGGGTTCTCCCCACATCTACATCCCTGTTGGTTTCCCATTCCCCATTGCCTTGTTGGGTGCTGGGCTCCTCCGAGGTGGGGCAGCCAGACATCTGCTGATCCATGAATATTCAGGAAGGGAATCGGAGCCTCCTCTGGGCTCCCCAGCAAGCCCCGGCCCCTCTGGCCGCCGTCCTGCCCGCAGGAGCCCAGGCTGCTGACAGACCCAGCAGCTGCTCGGGCCCCAACTGTTCACATTGTTTGTTCAGCGCAGCGGGGGATTTTCCAAGCCCCGGACGTGCTTTGGGGGGTAGGGAGGCTGCCGGAGGGCTCAGGGATTCGTGTCATGTGGGGTTTTTCTCCCCTGAAACTCAAACCGACTGCTCAGCGGCTGGAATGGGGCAATTGGAAGCCACTGGGCTGAGAGCCCGGGCTGGCCTTCCCCCCACCGTGTTTGCATCAGAATCTAGGGCCTCAGATAGAGAAGGGACTGGATGTTAAGAATAGCGATTTGCATTTGTACATCCCTTTCCAGTTTACGAAATGCCTTTAAAGAATGAGCTCCCATTCTTTGACTGATGCCCGTTAGGCTCTGGGCTGGAGACCTGACCCACATCATCTAGTTTAATCCTCACAGGCTCCATAGTATCGCCTTCATTTTTACAGATGTGGAAACTGGGCCCCAGAGAGGTAAAGTGGATGGTAGGTGGAGCAGCAAGACTGGAACCTTGACCTTCTGCCCCAAGGTCAGATGCTCTTTCCACCCCAGCACATGGCCCTCAGTGATGCGAATACCAGTTTGGTTTCCCCAGTTAGACTGGAAACTGAGTGAGGGCAAGGGCTGCCTTCTCCTCGCTGCACCCACTAGTAATGCTGAGCCCAGCTGTGTAGCTGGAGGTGCCAGTGGAGCCTTTAAGAAAGGCAGAGGCCTGTTCAGACCCTGTCTGTCTGTCCTTCCCACTGTGGTGTCAGAGGCCTGGCTTCTGCCCTGGCCTCCTTATCTCAGCCAGTTAGGACCTCTCTTCTCCCCTCAGTCTTGATCCTCTTCAGGGGTTTAAGTGTTGGCATATATGTGTGTCCAGGTGTTGATGAGTGTGGCAGAGACGGGGGGAGCACGTGTTTAGGTATGGCAGGTCGTGTCTACAGTTTTGTGTGTGTGTCTAGATGATGTTCTGTATCTGTTCAGGAGTAGGTGAGTCCAGCTCACTGAATAATCCTACCATCATAGAATCTTCGACATCACCCACTACATTGGAGTAAACTAGAGCCCAGAGGTGGAAGTGACTGGCCCAAGGCCACACAGCTAGACTGTGACAAAGCCGGGGCTAGAACTGAGGGTCGCCGGAGTCCTTAGCCGTTGTGCTTTCTGCATGCCCCTGACAGGGCTCTGTCAGCCCTGGCCTGCCTTGTAATGAGTGTCCTCACCTCTGTCCCTAGCTCACTCTCAGACACACCACTGTGCCTTTAAGCAAGGTGTCAGGCCAGAGGATAAGAGGGCACCTCGGGCCATTAAGCTTTTATGGGACAGGAAGGCAGCAGGTCAACCGTCTGGAAGATAAAACTGGAAGAGAACCAACTATTTCTCTATGAATAACGGTTACTGGGCCTTGCTGAGATGTTGGTTAAAATGATAAACTTGTCATTTGTGTGTTTTTGCCTTGACCCTGGGATGGCATTCCCTTCCTCCATTATTCTCCTGCTCTTCCCTTTGCGGCCAGGGCAGTGTTGGAGCTGCAGGCTCTTCTGGGGCATCTGGAGAAGGTCAGGGACTGGGTTCTGCACTGGCTTGCTGCGTGGCTTTGGGGGAATCAGCTGCAGGAAGGAGAGCTTACCCCTCCCAGTCACTGCGGCAGAAGTGGTTTGGGTGATAGTGGTCAGGACGATCTGTGGGATTCCAGGAGAGGGAATGACATTACTGAGCCCCAGTCCTGTGCCAGGCCAGCCACTGTGCTGTACTCCTTTACCACACAGCATCTCATTGAGCGCTCACAACAGCCCTCTGAGGAAGGAATGACTATGTCTTTTTAAATTGAGACGCAATTCACATACCACAAAATTCACCGTTTAAAGTGTACAAATCAGTGGTTTTAAGTATATTCACAAGGTTGTGCAACCATCACCACTATCTAATTCTAGAACGTTTTCATCACCTAAAAAAGAAACCTTCGATCCCTTCGCCATCTCTCCTCACTCTTCCCTCTCCCCAGTCCCTGGCAACCATTAATCTACGTTCTGTCTCTATGGATTTGCCTACTCTGGACATTTCACAGAAATGAGATCATACAATATGTGGCCTTTCGTAACTGACTTCTTTCACTTTGAGGAAAGTTTTCAAGGTTTATTCATGTTGTAGCAAGTATCAGTACTTCATTTCTTTGGATGGCTGAGTAATATATTTATCTATTCATCAGGTGATCGGGCATTTGGGTTGCTTCTACTTTTTTGCTAAGAACTGTGTTATTTTGTGGATGAGGAAGCTGAGCAGCGGGGTAAGGATTGGGAACGAAGTGCAGCCGTTGGCCCAAGATCACAGTTAGTCAGAGGCAGAGCCAGGATCCAGACACAGGTCTCTCCGTGAGACCTCTTTCTCTGAGGTTTTGCCCTCCTCGACCCGGGGTGGGTGACTCGGGCTCCGGAGGCTGTGGGATGTAGGAGGACACACACTGATGACCCTGGTGACCCCTCCTCGACGCAGGGGAGCAGCCGTTGCCCCGGAAGACGACCGTGTCGCTGAGCTGTGGAGCAGGGCCGCTGCAAGTGATCCTGGGCCCGGAGCAAGCCACGGTGCTGGACTGCGGTCTGGGGGCGGCTACTGCAGGACACCCCCCCAGCGTCACGTGGAGCAAGGATGGAGGCATCCTGCCCGAGCACAGCCACCTTCGCCTGCTACCCAATGGCTCCCTGTGGCTGTCCCAGCTGCCAGCTCCCGACGGCACTGACCCTGGGGCTTCAGAGGTCATTGAGGGCAGCTATTCCTGCCTGGCCCGCAGCCCCGTTGGAGTGGTGGCCAGCCAGGCTGCGGTGGTCAAGCTTGCCAGTAAGTGCTACATCTTGGACTGAGCTGAGGCCTATAAGACGTGGGGTGTGGGAAGTGGGGTCTGCAGTTAGATACTTGCACAAAGGTTTGACTCTGAGCCACGCCCCCTTTCCCTGCCTCCTTTGCTGCTCAGTGGGTCCCTTCCTGGTATTGTCTGCCTCACTGTTCAATAGTCTCACTTCTTCCCTGCTCTTCTGTTCCTCCTCCTTTTCCTTCCCTGTGAGTTTGAGAGTCTAGACTTGTGCTCTCCTCCAGGAAGCCTGCCAGAGAGGTTTATAAGCACGTCAGGGGCACAAAGGTGCTCCCCACCCCCACAGCAGGTGGAGTGTGTAGAGCCGAGCTGTGTTGTCCAGCTCACTCACTCTTCGGGGGTTCTCAGGAGGCACAGATCACCATGAAACAATTTGGGGGCCAGAAGAAATGCACATCTTACTGTAGTCCAACCATATGGTGATGTAAGGCAGGGGGACTTTGGAATTCATTCTGCCTGCAGCATCTGACCAGTCATCACCACTTCTTATTCTCCGACTGCCTCTTTCCAACTGTGTCTCCGTCGGTCTGAATTCTTTTTGCATGTGTTTCTGTCCACCTGTGTCTCTCTGTGTCCGTGTGTGTGTGTGTTTCCTGTCTGCTCGCTGTGGCCTCCTTTCTTGTGTTCCTCTCCTGTCCCTGCGTTTTCTCACTGTCCTCATCCCCAGCACTTGCAGGTTTCTCCCTGCACCCGCAGTCTCAGACGGTGGAGGAGAATGGGACCGCTCGGTTTCAGTGCCACATCGAAGGGCTGCCAGCACCTGTCATTACTTGGGAGAAGGACCAGGTGACGGTGCCTGAGGAGCCTCGGTGAGTGTCCTGTGGGCAAGAGGAGAGTGGGTCCCAGGGGGCAGCCAAGGAGGGCTGTGGGATGTGCTCAGGAACTGGGCTTCTTAGAGTCAGGGTGGCTCCGTTTGTCCAAACTGACTTAGGAGCCAACCACCACCTGACACTCAGCCCATTTCTGGTCCCAAAGAGAAGCTGTGTCAGAAGTTTTTGCTCCCTGGGAGGAAAGCCACCCACCAAGCTGTGGGGCTTGGGTAGAGAGCAGTTATCGAGTCCTTCAGAGCATATGTAGTCCAACCACTTGCCTTATTGAGAAGGAGACCAAGGGCCAGAGAAGAGCTGTGCTTTAACCAAGGCCACACGGTGAGCCATTGGCAGAACGTTTGTTGTTTGTTCCGGGCCCAGAGGGTTTCCCTTTGCAGGTCCCTCTGGAGTTTCTACCTTGGATGCATAACTTCTCTTCTTCTCTCAGTTCCACTCAGTGGGGTGCAGCATCTGATAACCAGGTTGTGGAGGTCCTTCCTGTTTCACCCTCCTCTCTCCCCATAAAGGCAATGGAGCAATCCTAGGGAAGGGTTTCTAGGGCAGAAGAGAAGCAGAGGCTAGACCCAGGGCCTGATCCCTACTGCGGCCTCCTGGGAAGGCCCAGATGTACACACAGCATGTCCAGAAAGCACGAGGCTCATTTGCATCTGTGTTCTTGGAACTGGACTCATGGCTCGGCTGCCACCACATGGAGTCTTACACCTTTGGAAATGTAGCTCCAAAGGCCTTTCCCAGCCACGCTGCCGTCCTCTCCCTGCATCTCTCTAGCTGTAGTTACCAACTCACGCTCTCCTCTCCCAGCAGAGGTGGGATTCCTTAGGCTCAGAAACACTGGTTTCCAGATCTCCCTGCCCTGGAACTAACCTGTCTTCAGTGTATTGAGTTGTCCCATCTCCTCTGACTTTTGCCCGTGTCTAGGTAGGGGTGAGAGTGTAAGAGAAACTTCTAGGGGTGAGAGTGTAAGAGAAACTTCTAGATAGAAGAGCCCCAGGCCACATCTCTGCAACAGTTGTAAGTGAGGAAGAAGGGTGAGAGAGGTCAAGATATAAGTGATCCTGTTGACTTTGGTGATCAGTCAGCCCCACTGGTCCAGTGGGTTGGATTAGATCACGGTTTCCAAAGTGTGTTCTTTTTTAGAACGTTAGTCCCTAAAGATGATTCTTGAAAAAAAAAAAAAAGTACTCCACAGTCAAATAAGATGAGGAAACTGCCTATAAATCTCCCTCTTGGAGTCGACAAGGCCCTGAGAAGCCCTGTACTGAGAAACCTGTTTAACTTGTTTAACCAAATGCTTCCTAGACTCATTTGCCCAGAGCCCCTCTTGCAGGAACACTGTTAACATCCTAGGAATGAGCATTCCAGGGAGGAGACCTTGGGAATGCTAACCCAGCCTTCCTAGCGCTGACATTTTAAGTTCTATGCCTCTTTTTTTTTTTTTTTTTTCTGGCCCTGCCGCATGGCTTGTGGGACCTTAGTTCCCTGACCTAAGGGATCGAACCCGTGCCTCCTGCATTGGGAGCACAGAGTCTTAATCACTGGACCACCAGAGAAGTCCCAAGTTCTATGCCTTTTAAATGTGGAGCCTCTCACCGCTGTGAGAGAGTTGTTGGATGAGAACCAGTTGAGAGTCTACTCCTGGGACAGTCCCCAGAGAGGGTGGGAGAGAGCAGAATACTCTCCCCGCGTTAAAAGTCACAAGAGGCTTCACTTCATTAGAGCTGTGTTTTCTCACTTAATCCTTCCCATGATCCTTCAAGGTAAGTGTTCCTTATTTTTCATATTTTCCTCTATTTACTTTTAGTTTATATTCCTATTAGATACATTTTTCAAATTCATATAAACAAAAAAGAAGAAACAAAAATGGCTCATCCTCTTATCACCCATAGAAAGCCTCTGTTAGTTTTGATGTCTGTCCTCTGGACCTTTCCCCTGTATGTTTATAAATATTCTCTTTCAAATTTTGGATCATATTGTACATACTGGGTTTTTTGTTCAATCACCTTTTTTTAGAAAACAAAAATGGGATTATATTGCAACTTCTTTTTTTTCACTTAACACATAAGGAACCCCCTTCCAGGTCTATCTGTATGGCTGTGGCAGATACTGTTATCTGAATTCTTAAATGAGGGAACTGAGGATCAGAGACAGAAGTCACTTGCCCCAGGTCACACAGCTAGTGCTGAGAGTATCTGACAGCGGAGCCCTGGGGTGGATGATTTGGTGGTTGGAGTGGGGAAGCCACAGGGTCTGAAGAAACTCCTGTTGCAGGCTGGCTTAGAGTTGGAGTGGTCCAGCTGTGCTCAGAGCAGAGAAGTTACTTCCCCAAAGTTTCTCAGCAAACAGAGGAGTTCCCTCATCTCCCAACATCTAGTTCAGGCCTCTCCCAGGAGGCTGGAGCTGCCAGTTCCTGGCCTCTGGGAGTGTTTGCCCCCAAGTCCTCTGAAAAGTGATCCTCATCTATAAATAAGCCAGGCTCACATGTCCCAGCACATTGTGTGTGGGGGGGAATAAAGAAATATCTAAAACAGCAACTTGATTATGCCCAAGGTATGTATTTTTACATATACCCAGATAGAGTTCACATAGAAATATGCTATTCATAAACTCAACCCAGTGATTTGAAGGAGACCATATGCCTTGGTGTAGGCTGTGCGCATGTGCAATTAATAAGCACACTCTGTCAGGGTCTATGTTCATATTTTGGGAACTGATGGTAAACACTAGACCCTGAGGCAATTCCCTGATACTTATACTAATTTCTAATGATAGGGGATAATTTTTCTTCCACGGGAACCAGTAATCAATGAGAGCAAAGTTTCCCAGATCGCAGGCATTCACAAACCCCTGTCATATTTTTGGCCATCCCTCAACCATTTATACAACACTTACTTAATACATTTCTTCAAATCAGCTCTCTCTTTTGTAACTTTAACACATACTAAAAAGGAACAGTATCTCACTGCAGTAAAATGGAAAACCAGCAGCACTGACCTTAAATAGAAGGTAGCCATAAAAATGAATATATAACCACTGGAATAAAAACCTGTGTCTAGATCCACTTGAAATCATTTTGTTATCACCATTCACTCACACTTTAAAACCATGGCACTAATGGATTTAATTACTGCAGTCCTCTGCCCTACCCATCTCCTAGGGTCCATCGTGTCTGTCAGCCTCATGTGACCCTCGGCTAGTGTCCCTTTTCCCTGGGTGGATCTCTGAACGGCTCAGGGTGGAGGCTCCTTGGCCCTCAGGAAATTCAGAGCAGCTATCATTTCTCCTCTGTTCTTGAATCTCTGGGTCCAAGTGGCCTTTTGCGGGTACGGGCAGCAGGCTGAGGCTCAGGCTTGGAAAGAGAATGGTCCCTTCCTTTTAGCTAGAGGTTGCTTTTCATTCTATAAGTAGCTATTTTGTTTTATTTTAATTCATTTTAAAATGATAAAACATACTAACTTAAAGGGAAAAAAGTCACCTACAGACTGAGCACAGATAGCTGTTACCATTATCTAATGAGAGCTTATGACACATTAACAGGGTCGGGGTTGTGAAGTAGGCAGGAATTATGAAACCCATTTTTCAGATGAGAAACCTGAGGCCTGGACATGTGATGTCACTTGCTAAAAATCACATATGTTGGAATCAGTTCTCTCCTCTATGCCACAGCTGCTTTTATATTAGAGCCAGGAGTTACAAAACAAAGTGTACAAGGGCACATGCTTTTTTCCATTTAAATTTTTTTAAGTTTTATATTTCCAAACTAATAAATGTTCACTGTAACCAAGAAATTTAAAAACGCAACAAAAAAGAGCCCCACAGTAACCCCACTCCCAGAGAAAACCTCCACGAATGACGTGAGCTTTACCACCCTTGACTTTTTCCACGCACATCCTAGCATATCATTTATCTATTTTCCAAAAATAGAATTGCTTCATAAACACTGATTTGTGAATTCTTTCCCCCCACTAACCAATATGTCTTGGACATTCTTCCAAGGACAGAGCTTTTTAACACACATTTTAACAAAGCAGAAGAAATTTTAAATGAAAGTGGTTCCATTTCACTTGTGTTGGCTCTAGCAACAGCACCACACCCGCATTCATTCATTCAACACACGTAATTAAGGCAATGTCAAAGGAGGTATTAGCTCTTGGATACCTGGAGCACAATTTCCCTGGAAAGAGTGAGAAACTTTGGGGTTAGGAAGTGTGGGCAGCTCCTGGCGTGAATCCTGCTGACAACAGCTATGGAGACTGAGGAAGGAGGAAGGGTCTTAGAGGCAGAGAATATTAGGTGGAGGAGCCGTGGATGGGGATGGGGGCCTTGTTTCTGAGATGGGTCCTGCTTGTCCTTCCCCACTTGTCATTTCCCATCAAATTTTCCATGGCAGCAGGCTGGGTCCTGGCCCAGGATTTTCTCTCCAACCACCCTGCCCCTTCTGGTCCCCTCTCCCAGCACTGATGTGGGCAGTTCTTGGAACTGAGGGTAAGACTCTGGGGCAGAGATGGGTTTGCCTGTGGGCTGAGGGAAGGAGTGATGCAGGTTTATGTTTTTTCTCTAAGTCTTTGGGCCACAGCAGATTTCTAGGCTCATGGTCAGAATTCTCTCCCAACACCCTTGAGCTAGTTCTTTTCTCCTGTGTTTAGATTTTTCTCATACCCTGCTTTCCCCATGAGCCAAGGGGTCTTCACCAAGTGCACAGCTGCCCCATTCCCTCCCTGACCTTGGCCCAGCCTACATCCACAGGCCACTTGCTCTAGTGAGAAATTAGAACTCTCACCCTCGAGCTGACCCTGCAGGGATCACAGCTAGAGGATTCAGGAAGACCCACTGCCTCCCTGCTTGGGCCAGAACCCATTCTGCTTCCCACCACCCTGGCTCCCATGGGCACTTCCCTGCCTGGGATTGCACTGTCTCTCAAGCAAAGTCTCTGGGCCCTTCTAGCCCAAACTGCTTTCCAACCCTCACCAAAAGGGCAGAGAACACCACTCTCATCCATCCTGCCCCTCCTCAGTAGTGTACGTGTTGACTGGGACTTGCTGGAGACCACGTCCCTTCCACTGGCATTCTCGGCCATCTAGTGGCTGCTGAGACGAGCAAGTGAGAAGAACGTGGGATTTGGCACCAGAAGCCCTAGGTTCCAGTTTTAACTCTGCTCGAGCTGTGAGACCCTGGGAAAATACCCTACTCCCTCCAAGACTTAGTTTTGTCACCATTAAAAGGAAGGCTGTGATCCCCTCTACCCCTTGGGCTTGTTTCGAGTTTCAGATGAGATAGTGTGAATAGAAGGGATTTTATCAGGGAGACAGGAGGTAATACAGGCAGGGGGTAAACAAATTCAAACTATACAGAAGGTTATTTAATGAAAATTAAATCTCCCACTGACAGGTCTCAGGATCCCAGGTCCCCTCCCCAGAGATAGCCACTATTACCAGGGACATTCAGTGCAAAAGCATATAAGTGTACGCGTCACACACACACTATTCTGTACCATACATATTTTGGAGATGGTCTTACAGCAGTACACATTGAACGGTCTCCTTTTAACAGCTGCCTAGCATTCCATTGTGTGAATGTACCCAGACCAATTTAGCTAGTTCCCACCCTACAGATGGACATTTGGACTGTTGCCAGTCTTTTGCTATTACAGACAGGGCTGGAGTGAATATCGTTAGACATACGTTTTTGTGTACATGTACGAGAATATCTGTGGGATAAAGTCCTTGAAGTGATGTTGCTGGTTCAAAAGGCACATGCAGGTTTGATCGTAAGATATCACCAGCTTGCCCTTGAAAGAGGGTGTATTGATTTGGCATGACCACCAAGAAGACAGGACTGCCTTCCCCCATTCCCTCATCCACAAAGGGTGTTATTAAACCTTTTGATTGGACAAGCTATGTGGCCCCCCCAAAAAAGAAGAAAAAACAAAAAGAAAAGAAAACAAAAACAAAACCTTTTGACCTTTGGGACTTCCCTGGTGGCGCAGTGGTTAAGAATCCGCCTGCCAATGCAGGGGACACGGGTTCGAGCCCTGGTCCGGGAAGATCCCACATGCTGCGGAGCAACTGAACCCGTGCACCAAAACTACTAAACCTGTGCTCTAGAGCCCGCGAACCACAACTACTGAGCCTGCGTGCTACAACTACTGAAGCCCACATGCCTAGAGCCTGTACTCCGCAACAAGAGAAGCCACTGCAATGAGAAGCCTGTGCACCGCAATGAAGAGTAGCCCCCGCTCACCGCAACTAGAGAAAACCCAGGCACAGCAACGAAGACCCATCGCAGCCAATAAATTAATTAAAAAAACCATTTTTGACCTTTGCTAATCTGATAGGTGAAAATGGTATCTTGTAGTTTTAATTTGCATTTCTTTTATTATGAGTGAACCTTGAAAGTGAACTGCTCTAGGTATTTCAGGCCAGAGGGGAAGGTGGGTCCAGGACTGTTTGGGCGTGCTACCCTCCCTGAGGAGCTCCTGCGCACCTCACAGGTGCCCTCTCTCTTCCAAAGGCTCATCACCCTTCCCAATGGGGTCCTCCAGATCCTGGACGTTCAGAAAGGTGATGCAGGCTCCTACCGTTGCGTGGCCACCAACTCAGCAAACCAGCGCTTCAGCCAGGAGGCCCTCCTCCACGTGGCCCACAGAGGTAAGGGGGCTGCCTGGGTGCGGAAACCTGGGGGTTTCTGGAGTCGGCCATTTTGGAGCTGGGCGGGGCCTCAAGTAGTCCAAGGCCTGCCTTCAAATAAGTAACTGGCAAGGCGCTAAAGCCCAGAGAAGGCAGTGCCCCCCAGCAAGTCAGAGATAGAACTGGGGCAGGAACCCAAGACTCCCAGTTTAGGGCTCTCTTCCTGCGAGGCTCTGTGTTCTCTTGAGTTGGGTGGAGCGTCCAGGGGTGGGGAGGTGAGGCGTCCGTGGAGGAGTGTCCGTGCCCTGAAGCCCTGGTCCCCGGCCCTCTGTGTGCCCTGAAGGGGATTCACCCTGCTGCTGCTTGCTGTGCATCTAGCTCCTGATGGTCTGGGGCTCGTGTTCTCTCCATTTCTCTGAAAATCTCCCGTCCCAGGGTGATGCAGTAGGAAGGACACAGGCTTTGGGGTCAGAACGACCTGGTTTGAATCCTGCCTTCTCTGCTCACCATCTGCGTGACCCTGGGTTCCTTATCAAATGTCCAGTTCAGGGAGGTGGTGAGAATCGCTGAGATAAGATTGGGAAGTGCCTGCTGCCTAGCAGGTGCTCAGTAGATCTCACTCCGGGCCTCCCACAAGGGCCTCTCCCTTGCCTCCCTTTGCCATGGCATCTTCCCTCGACCCGCGCCCCTCCGTTCTTCTCTTCCCATCCCCCTCCTCATCCCCTACACCTCCACTCCTACCCTGCTTCCTAGGGCTTAGCTGACGCGCTGAGTCTGGTTCGCGCTCCCTCCCGTGCCCGGGGTCTCTGCCTCCACCTGCTGGACAAATCGGGTATTCACCATGTTGACCCAGGGACCCAGGGTCACACTTGAGAACTTGGCAGAGAATTAGTGCTCAGGGGGCTGCCAAGCTGGCAGAAACTCGAACCCATCCCCTGCCTTTCCCACGTGGGAATCGAGGCCCTCTGGAGAACGGACTTGCCAGAACTAGAAACTATAACTGTTGACTCCAAGTCCAGACTCCAAGTCTACTTTTTTTTTTTCTTTTGTTTTAAACTGGGGTATAGTTGTTTCCAAGTCTACTCTTGACTCTGCTGGTTCTCTGCCCGGAGGGTGGCTTCAATCTGACAGGGGAGAATGGGGGTGGTGTGTCGGAGGTCAGGTTATTCCTCTCCTGGCTCCCAGAGAAAGAGCTCTGAGTTCCAGTCCCAGCTCTGCTGAACTATGCAGCTGCTTTCCCATCTGTCAGATGGAACCCTGGTTGCTCCCTGCCCCACCTGCCTCACCAGGTGACTGTAAGCATCAGGTGAGGTGCTGCATGTGAAGATGCCTGATGGTAAAGCTGCCTGCTGGCCTGCCCTCTCTCCAGGGTCCCTGGCATCCATCGGGGGGCAGGACGTGGTCATTGTGGCAGCCCCGGAGAACACCACCGTGGTGTCTGGCCAGAGTGTGGTGATGGAGTGTGTGGCCTCTGCTGACCCCACGCCTTTCGTGTCCTGGGTCCGACAGGGTAAGTGGAGGGAGGGGACCTGAGGGCATGGGAGAGGAAGGGTGTGGCATCTCACACATCCCCAAGTCAAGGAGCTATAAGGGTGACCATGCAATGGTCACCGACCTTTGGTATGGTAGGAACTAACTCCTGTCCCAGGGCTGAGTGTGGGTAGGGAGCCTGGACAAAATTAATCATCAATCCGTGTAGCAAGTTTCCTTTACGAAGCGCACTAAGTCTGCCACTCACAAAATCACTCTTGAGACCTTACTTGGCGGGTGGGGCACTGGGCTCGGTTTTCCACACTATGTTTCCAGTCCTCACAACAGTGAATGTGTGAGAGCTGGAAAGGGGCCAGCGAGTCAGGTGGAACTTGGACCCTCTGCTGGTCTGTTTAACTACACAGCACCTCCTGGTCCACCCAGTGTGCTGCCGCCTTCGTGTGCCTGGCTTCATGCTGGGCACAGTGAATAAAAAAGGGGGGGGCCTGCCCTCTGAACTCACAGTCTGTTTAAGGGAGATAAGCACACATCCGTGACAAGACGCTTGACAGTATCAGGCAGCAAGTGATGAGTGCCAGGTGGGAATGCGTTACAGGAGATGCTATTGATGCTATCAGGGTAATGAGGGTGCCGGCCAAACGTCACCTTGCAGTCTACTGAGCATGCAACCTACTCTCCTGCTGGAGCCCTTGGAGGAGGGTAGGGGCCAGGGCTATTATTCCCAGAGGGCAGATGAGGAACCTGAGGCTCAGAGAGGAAGGTAGAAAGCCAGGACCCAAACTTTAGAGCCTGTTCTCTTTCTGGTACACCACCCCTTACAGCCCTGTATGGAAGAAAAGCAAGGATTATTTTTGTTTCCATTTGAGATAAGTGACTTGTGCCAAGTTGATGGCAGAAGTAAGTCTTAAACCCAGCTCTTTTTTTTTTTTTTAATTTATTTATTTGGCTGCGCCCAGTCTTAGTTGCGGCACACGGCATCTTTGTTGCGGCATACGGAATCTTTTAGTTGTGGCATGTGGGATCTAGTTCCCCGATCAGGGATCGAACCCGGGCCCTCTGCATTGGGAGCTCAGAATCTTACCCACTGGACCACCAGAAAGTCCCAAACCCAGCTCTTTTTACCCTTTTTCCCCTGGTTCAGTATACGACTCCACACTGCCTTCTTTTTGTAAGTTTGTATCTCACATTCAAGACTATGTCGTGATGAATACATAGAGTTTAAAGAAAAATAATAACCCAAATGACTACATACCCCCACCGAGCTGATGAGAAAGAACAGTGCTGGTATCTGTGCCTCCCTGACCTGTCCGGCCTCCTTGGACTTGTGACACTTGCCTAGTTAGGGGGATCCTGGGGCCAGCAGGACCCTCGTACTATTATTGCAGTAAGCCTGTTGTGTCACCCAGAAGTTCTATTATCAGTGTTTCTCAAATCCTGACCAGGCATCAAGATGACCCAGGGAGCTTCTTTTTTTTTTTAGTTTTTAATTTTTAAAAAAATTTTTATTGGAGTATAGTTGATTTGCAATGTTGTGTTAGTTTCAAGTGTACAGCAAAGTAAATCAGTTATACATAGACATATAGCCACTCTTTTTTAGGTTCTTTTCCCATATAAGTCATTACAGAGTATTAGGTAGAGTTCCCTGTGCTATACAATAGGTCCTTATTAGTTGTCTATTTTATATATAGTAGTGTGTACTATATGTCAGTCCCAATCCCAGGGAGCGTCTTAAAACTGCAGACTCCCTCCATGTATGCCTGGAGAGTCATGACCCAGGATTTTTAATGCTTAACAAGTGTCTGAGGTCCTTCTACAGAAAGTGTGGTCTTTGGACCTACCTCCTGGCCATAGTTAGAAATGCAGAATCTGGGGTGCCCTAGGCCTCTGCATCTTAACAAGGTCTCCTGAGATTCTGTGATTTGTGTACACAGTAAGGATTTGAGCATTGCTGTCCCAGAGGGTCCTGACACCTGTGGCTCTGGGATCTCACTTGGAGAAACTCTGCTAATAGCACTCCTGGACAGAGACTGGGAAGAGAAGCTGGAAATGGACTTCATTCCTGCCCCTGGGCACTGTTCCTTTTCTAGGAACTTACTCAACTAAGTCTAGGAACTTACTCAACTAAGTCAGAGGGGCATTGCTTTTTTGTTTTGTTTTGTTTTCTTCTGATGGCAAAAGTTGTACGTATTCATTGTAGAAAACTAGGGAAAAGGAGAAACAGAAAACATCCCACCACTCGGAGATTAAAATTGTTAACATATGAGCATATTTTCTTCCAGATTTTTTCTATGCACATGTACATTTTTCCCCAAAATTGAAAGTGTGCTTACTTACAATTCCAAGTCCTATTTTCATTCAACAGTATATCATAAACATCCCCCCATCTTTAAAACTTTTTCGAAAATAATTTTAATAACTATGATAGTCCATCATTTGAATGTCACCATAATTTAAGTTGCTAGTTCCTGCTATTGAATTTTTAAGTCCTTCCCAGTTGTCCACTATTACAGTTAACACTGCAGTGATCAGCCCCGTTCACAGCTCCCCACCACAGAGTGCCCACAAGTGGAATCCTGGCTTCAAGGTCAAGGTGGAGCCCCTGTTAGCCCTATCAGCATTTACCCTTTCTCATACTATTTTTAAAAACTTTCCCAATTTGATGGGTGAAAATGAACATCTGTGTTTTGATGTGCATGTCTTTGATTTTGTGAAGTTGAACACTTTTTTGTTTATTGGCCATTTGCATTTCTTCCCTGGATTTTCTGTTCAGGTCCATAAGGGAAGGGCTTTTAAAATGGTTTTCACTTCACATCAAGATAAAAGTCTGCACAGATTCAGATCTTTGGTTCTGGTCCAGACCTTTCCAGCCGTATGTTCATCATAGCACTGGGCTAAGACCATATGGGAGGAGTGTCCTTCTTGAGAGAAATGAATTTAATAATAATGGTAATGGTAATAACTGACCGGTGTACTGAGCACTTCTTATGTGCCTGCATTGTGCCGGCCAGTCCCACAGACTTTATTCGTTACGCTCTCAGAGCAGCCCTTCCAGCGAGGGACCATCTCCCCATTTTACAGACAGAGACACTAAGGGCTCAGAGGAAGTCATCGGTCTAGCAAGTGGAGGAACTGAGATCCCAGCCAGCGACTGTTGTGTTCTCTTAACCCGGGTGTAGAGGGTCTCCCGAGGTCCGGAGAGTGGATGGAGGGGCAGCCCTCAGCTCCCCCCTCCAGCGCTCTCCCTCCTCCCGCAGATGGGAAGCCCATCTCCACCGATGTCATCGTCCTGGGCCGCACCAACTTACTAATCACCAGCGCGCAGCCCCGGCACTCCGGCGTCTACGTCTGCCGAGCTAACAAGCCCCGCACGCGCGACTTCGCAACCGCAGCCGCAGAGCTCCGCGTGCTGGGTGAGGAGGGGAGGAGGGTGAGGGAGGGCGAAAGACCGCGGAGTAGGTGTGAGGGAGACCGGACTGGGGCGGGTTAGCTAGGGCGGGGCCGGGAGGAGAGGGGAGGGGGGTAAAGGGGCGAGTGGGTGTGTCAGAGGGACTGAGGGGCGGTGCTGGAGGATGAAAAAGGGATAGGGCGGGGGGTGGGGCATTGGAGGGGACAGACTAGGTAATTAGAGGAGAGGAAGTGGTGGAAAGAGATTGGAGGATGGAGTGGGGGCAGAGGGGAGGGGTGGTCTGGGTGGGACCCAGGTAATGTGGGGAGGGGTGGGACTGAGGTTACTCGGGGGAGATGGAGTGGTCTGGGAGGAGAAAACTAGGGGTAGGGTTGCTCAGGGCTGGCTGAGGGGTAAATCTGATAGGTAAGGGATACTGGGAGGTAGGGGAGAAGGAAATGGTAAGTGCGGGAGCAGGGTTTGATCCAGGAGGAACCAGGGTATTTAGGGGAGGCCGAGGAGGCCTGGGGACAACTCGGAGAGAGAAAGAGAATGGTCAGTGTGGGGCTGGGGTAAAAGGCGGAAGAGAGCTAGAGCTGCACTGCCGAGGGTATTTTGGGGGGACGGGTGAGTCAGGAAGCGGTTAGAATGAGTGGAGAGGATGCGGGAGTCCGTCGGGGTGTCCGTCGGGTATTGGGGGCGGGAGCCAGTGCCCCTGGTGGCCGGAGCGCGCGGTCAGCGTCCCCCTCCCCTCCCCCAGCCGCCCCTGTCATCTCGCAGGCGCCGGAGGCGCTGTCACGGACGCGGGCGAGCACCGCGCGCTTCGTGTGCCGCGCGTCCGGGGAGCCGCGGCCCACGCTGCGCTGGCTGCACGACGGAGAGCCGCTGCGGCCCAACGGGCGCGTCAAGGTGCAGGGCGGCGGCGGCAGCCTGGTCATCACGCAGATCGGCCTGCAGGACGCCGGCTACTACCAGTGCGTGGCCGAGAATGGCGCGGGCACGGCGTGCGCCGCCGCGCCTCTGGCAGTAGTGGTGCGCGAGGGGCTGCCCAGCGCTCCCACGCGGGTCACCGCCACGCCGCTGAGCAGCTCCGCCGTTCTGGTGGCCTGGGAGCGGCCCGAGCTGCACAGCGAGCAGATCATCGGCTTCTCCCTCCACTACCAGAAGGCACGGGGTAAGTCTCCCCGGGGCTAAGAGGCCCCAGCAAAGACCTACTGGGGGCTCTGGGGGGCGGGGAGAGGCGCGGCACAGGCTGGATGACTGAAGGGTTGCCTTTGGGGATAGGATAGAACGGGATGGGGTGGGAACCCACAGGAGAGACCTGTGTAGAAATGGGTTAGTACATTTCTCCCTCAGCCACAGTTTGTTATAAGAGAGGAGGGAGAGGATGCTTCTCCTCCCAGGGAAAGTGGCTTGGCATTCCTGGAGCCAGCTTGTTAATTGCAGCAGGAGTCACTTCAGTTAGAGGCTAGAAGGGACTTCCTGACCAGTGGAGGAATTAATACAGTGGGACTAGAAGTCAGGGGAGTTTATACTCTCCCACTGAGATTATCTGGAATGATTTAGCTGTAAAGAGGCTATTTTAGGGACTGGGACAATATAAAGGATCCCTAGACAGCTTCCAGCTGGCGAGCCCTCGGGGGTTGCCCTGTGACAGACTGTCCTCTAACCCTAACCCACTCAGGCATGGACAATGTGGAATACCAGTTTGCAGTGAACAATGACACCACTGAGCTACAGGTTCGGGACCTGGAACCCAACACAGACTATGAGTTCTACGTGGTGGCCTACTCGCAGCTGGGGGCCAGCCGCACCTCCACCCCAGCACTGGTCCACACACTGGATGATGGTAGGACCTCTGCACCTGCAGTGGGCACCTTGGGGCCCAGAGAATTCCCTGGGGATGGTAGCTCAGCTTCACTTTACTAGTGTTCGCCAAGGCACTTTTACCTGCCTTATGCCATATTTTGTGCCCTGTAAGGGAGTGGGCGAGGGTTCTTCTCCTTAATTTACAGTTGGGAAAACTGAGGCCCAGAAAATTAGTGACTTGCCCAAGGTCAGTAGTACAGCTGGGACTTGAGCCCTGGTCTCATGATTGCCTGTATCAGATGGCCCTTCTCCCCGACACCCACGTACCATCCAGTCAGACAGGAGCCAGTGACGATCCATCGGATGTAGATGATTGTGCCCCCAACCTTATTCTGGCTTCAGGGTGGGAAGGATGTCCCCTCATCTCCAGCTTGGGGCTCCCCTGAGAGGCTCCCTTTCCTCCCTCAGATCCTGGTCCTGGGCCTACTTCTGACTTGCTGTGTGACCTGGGCAAGTCTCTGACCGCTCCTGGGCCTCACCTTCCACGTCGGTGGAGCAGAGCTCACGTAGATGTTCTTCTGTCTCAGTCCCCAGTGCAGCGCCCCAGCTCTCCCTGTCCAGCCCCAACCCCTCGGACATCAGGGTGGTGTGGCTGCCCCTGCCCCCCAGCGTGAGCAATGGGCAGGTGGTGAAGTACAAGATAGAGTACGGTTTGGGAAAGGAAGGTGAGTGGGGGCAGGACACGGGCTCCACCTGGCTGGGAATCATTGGTGTAAAGGGTTGATCAGAGTGGCTGGGGACCTGAGCAGAGCTGTGGAGTAGGGCAAGGTGAACCTGGAAAGGGGGAAGGTGGGCTGGGGGTTGGGAGGGCAGGAGAGAAAGGGAAGGCGAAGAGGGCTAGCTCAAGACAGGGGGAGGCCTGGGGTCTAGCCCCACCTCCTCTACGGCTGCAGTGCGTAATCCTGTTGAGTCCCTGCCTCAGTGTCTTTGTGAAATGAGGCAGGTAACCTAGGTAATCCCTGGGGTCCCTTCCAGCTCAAAAAGCAGATGAGGGATAGGGAGGTGGAGGGTGTGCTCGTGGGATTGAGAGAAATGAGGCATGGGGGCGTGTGTGTTAGGACAGATGTCAGGAATCTAGGGGAGGAGGTGTGAAAGGGATGGAGAGATTGGAGAAGGCAAGTGGCTGGGGGCCGGGATGAGGGTGGGGAGGGAGGGAAGGGTGAGGAGGGGGGCTTGGGTTGTTGGCAGGGCTCCGGAAGGTAGGTGGTGCTTGATGGCCTTCACAGCCAGTGCCTCATGCCAGCACCCTGGTGTGTGTGGGAGGGGTTGGTTACTGACAGCTCCTGGGGCGGTGGGGAGTGTGTGCCATGATTCTTCCCGCTCTGAGCCGAGGCTGATGACTGTGTCAGCCAGAGTTGGAGGCCCAGGAGTCAGCCCTGGAGCATGGAGTCCGTCCGGGCACTGAGGGTTTTAGGCTCCGATGGGCCCTGAGGAACCAGGACCTGAGGTGGAAAAGTCGGTGTAGGGGAGTTTAGGAGTCCTGGTCCTTAGGCGGCCACCCAGAGCCAGTCTCTTCTGTCCCAGCAGATCAGATTTTCTCCATCGAGGTGCCAGGGAATGAGACACAGTTTACACTGAACTCGCTTCAGCCCAACAAGGTGTATCAAGTGCGGATTTCGGCCGGCACAGGGACCGGCTACGGGGCCCCCTCCCAGTGGATGCAGCACAGGACGCCCAGTGTGCACAACCAGAGCCACGGTACGGGGTCAGAGGGGACAGTTGGGGTGATGCGTGTGCCTATGTATGTATGTGTATGTTTGCCCTTGGAACCCAGACCCAGCCGCCTCCTCCATCAGAGACGTTCCATGGCTCCCCCTGCTCGATGGGCAAGGGAGGATGGGCGGAGAGGCGAAGGGCTAGCTTTTGCAGACACCCCTGAGCTCCTGTTTCCTTTCCATCTGCTGTGTGACTTTGGACAGACCATTCACAACTCTAAGACTTCATTTACTGCCAGGTGTGGCATGAGGATGAATTAATGTAAACAAAATGTTTAGTACATAATTAGAACTTGTTAAATAGTAGCTGCTTCCATGATGATGATCGTGGGTTTGGCGGAGAGGCCCAATAGTAGAGTGGTTAAATGCACTCAAAATCTGGCGCACATACTATCTGTGTGACCTTGGGCAAGTTACTTTTACGAGCCTCAGTCTGCTTATCTGTAAAACAGGGATAATAGTGCTTTTGTTATTTTATAGGGTTGTGAGAACAGCATCAGACACATAGTGAGCTGCCCCACTCTTAGGCTTCCAAGTAGGGCTCCCTACTTCCAATGGCTCCATCCCTCCTTCCCGGGTTTAGCAATCCCTGGGATCCCCTACCTGCCGGTACTCATGCATTCATTCCTTCAGAAGAATTCTAGAGCCCTGCTCCAAGCGAGGTGCTGTCAGCCCTGCCCCAGAGGTGCTCCTTGCTGACCTCTTTGCAAATGCCCGGGAGACATCCTTGCATTCCCAGCACTTGTGGAAGAGTGAGGTGTGCTCTAGAACGAGCCTGGGCCTGGCCCTTAGGCCGGTGGCTGAACGGTGATGCACTGGGAGAAGGCTGGCAAGGCTGTCACTCAATGCTGTCTTCCTGCTTTTTGCTTCCTCGTGTCTCTTCCCCCCTCCCTTCCTGCGCCTCTGCCCGCAGTCCCTTTTGCCCCCGCAGAGCTGAAGGTACGGGCAAGGATGGAGTCCCTGGTCGTATCATGGCAGCCACCCCCTCACCCCGCTCAGATCTCTGGCTACAAACTGTACTGGCGAGAGGTGGGGACAGAGGAGGAGGAGGCAGATGGCGAGGGCCCTCCAGGGGGCCGTGGAGACCAGGCTTGGGATGTGGGTCCTGTCCGGCTCAAGAAGAAAGTGAAGCAGTATGAGCTGACCCAGCTAGGTGAGGAGGGCCAGGTGGGGAGGGATGAGATGGACATAGCTCCAGTGGGAGACTGGACAAGCGGGGTCAGTGGCTGGAGATGACCCCAGAGGTTCCTCTAGCCAGTGAGTGACCCCCATGACCTTCCCCAGTCCCTGGCCAGCTGTACGAGGTGAAGCTCGTGGCATTCAACAAACACGAGGATGGCTATGCGGCAGTGTGGAAGGGCAAGACGGAAAAGGCTCCCACCCCAGGTGAGGGGGCTGGGGAAGCGGGGGAGGAGGTCTCAGTCAACAGGATGGCCTCCTTTCCCTTTCCTCTGGGCCAGCTCTGGTGGTCAGGTTGTCTGGAAGCTTCAGCTACCCACACACCCATTCTACTAGGCTCTTCTAGGCTACAGAGAGAAGCTCCAGCTTGTGCACTGTCTTGTAGGTCTGCTCACCGTGTTTTCATTATCCATGAACAGTGCTAATACGGAAGGTTTGGACAGAGAAAAACCCCATGGTTCATCAGTGACTTCTGACTCCAAGTTTGACCTTTAAACACTTTTTAAAATACATCCACCTACATTGCACCGTCTATCAGATTATTCCTCTGCTCTAGGGAGGGAGGGTATCCCTTTGTGGCCCACCAGGAAACTGAGGCTCAGGATCTTAGTTGGGGCTGCTGCAACAAAACATTATAGACTGGGTGGCTTGAACAACCAGTTCTGGAGGCCGGGAAGTCCAAGATCGAGACCCCAGAAGAGCCAGTGTCTGGTGAAGACCTGCTTCCTGGTTTGTAGACCATAGGCCATCTTCTCGCTGTGTCCTCACATGGCAGAAAGAGGGTTGGAGAGTTCCCTGGGGTCTCTTTTATAAGGGCGCTGTTATAGACTGAAAATGTGTGTCACCCCAGAATTCATACGCTGAAACCCTCCACTCCAATGTGATATAATAGGAGGTAATTAGGATTAGATGATGTCATGAGGGTGGAGCCTTCATGAATGGGATTAGCACCCTTATAAGAGTCACAAGAGAGCTTGCTTCCCTTTTCTGCTCTGAAGATACAGTGAGAAGTCAATTGTCTATAACCCAGAAGAGGGCCTTCACCAGAACTTGACCATGCTGGCACCCTGATCTCAGACTCCAGAACTGTGAGAAATAAATTTCTGTTGTTTATAAGTCACCCAGTCTACGGTTGTTTGTTATAGTAGCCTGAACAGACAAAGGCAGGCACTAATCCCTAAGACAGGACCCACCATATGTTCAAATATCAACATATGAACTTTGGGGGGACACAGACATTCATTCCATGAAACTTTTCTATGTCCTTTACAAACATTAACTAATTTAATCCTCATAACAACCCTATGAGGTGTTGGTACTATTATCTGCCCCACTGACAGAATGGGGAATGGAGACACAGAGAGGTTAATTAACTTCTCCATAGTCACACAGCTACTAAGTGGCAGAGTTGGAATTTGAATCAGGGCAGCCTGGCTCCAGAATCTGTGCTCTTAATTGCCATGATTTGCTGTCTCTCTCTATTACATTCCTACATACTAGTGTTCCACGGTCTGCTATCTGTATGCTCTTGGCAAAAATCACTTGAATTCTTGGGAGCCTCAGTTTCCTCATCTGTGAAGTGAGAATGGTGCCACCCAACTCACAGGATCAAAAGAGACTGGGTAAAAGCAAGTGCCCTGGGAACTGCAAACCACTATACATATTGAGGGATGAGTATCCTCCCTCCATTCCCACACTCTAATTTTCACCCTCCAGACCTGCCCATCCAGAGAGGGCCACCCCTGCCCCCCGCCCATGTCCATGCGGAATCAAACAGCTCCACATCCATTTGGCTTCGGTGGAAAAAACCAGACTTCACCACAGTCAAGATTGTCAACTACACGGTGCGCTTCAGCCCCTGGGGGCTCAGGAATGCCTCCCTGGTCACCTATTACACCAGGTGGGAAGAGGGGCTGATGCTGCGAAGGGGGAGGAAGAGCAGACGGTGGGGAAGAAGGCAGCAGGTGGTGATGAGGAGAGGGGACCTGGGGGTTCAGGGACATTTCATGACTCATGTGTTAAACTGGGGGCACATTGAGGGTCTGATGACCAGATGGTGCCAGATGGAAAAGGGGCGTCCATCCAGTCCCATCCCCTCACAGGAGAGCCTTGTACTCAACCCTAGGAAATGTCACGCAGGACAGACCTATTTCTTCAACTTCACGTGACGGGGAAGAGACAGCCCAGCTGCTGTCCTGAGAGGTCCCCAGTTAGATGGGGAGACAGAGACCCTGACCTGGGGAGCTGTTTGTTTGGCAGAGGAAACAAAGCATAAAAAGAAATAGATATATACAGTGGCAGCTGAAGTAAAATTAAGTCAAGGAAAAGAAGCATCAGAGGTGGTCCCTTGGGTAGAGAATGATGTGGATTAATCCAGGAATGTTTCCTGGAAGAGCGGCCTGGCTTGGGGATTGGACATGGAGCCTGATACATCCAGACCCCTCTGCAGGTCCTCTGCATGGTGTTAGTGGCCCCCGTGGGGCTGGGGTAGGGGAGTAGATTTGGAGGGCCCTGCCCTGTTAGGAGGGTGTGCCTGAGAGCCCTGGTCACGTTTCTTGCCTTGGCAGCTCTGGAGAAGACATCCTCATTGGCGGGCTGAAGCCATTCACCAAATACGAGTTTGCGGTACAGTCCCACGGCGTGGACATGGACGGGCCTTTCGGCTCCGTAGTGGAGCGCTCCACCCTGCCTGACCGTGAGTGGCCACCAGTCCGTCTTTCAGGGAACTCCTTCTTGCCCCAGCATCCCTCTTGTGAAGCGCCCCTCAGAACCCCATGAGTGTCCGTCATTTGCTCTGCATCTCTGTAGGCAGTCCTGTGCTGGTCTTAACCGTTTGCTCACAGACATCATAACGTAAGATTTAGAGGAGTGGTTTCTTTTAAGAGGCTGTGCGAAGACCTCAGCGAGCTGTGTGGGGGGCCAGGTCTGGAGGCAGGCGTCCTGGGTTCTGCCTTTGGGTCCCCGTCATCCCCCTGACACACACTGAGACTTAGGCAGTCCCCTTCCCCACGAAGGGCCTGTGGGTCCTCATCTGTCAAAAGAGAGGATGGGACCATTCGCTTTGCAAGTCTGTGACTCTGGAACCCTCTGGAAATGCATCTGAAGACAAGTGGATTTTTTTTTTTTTTTTTTTTCGGTACGCGGGCCTCTCACTGCTGTGGCCTCTCCTGTTGCGGAGCACAGGCTCCGGACGCGCAGGCTCAGCGGCCATGGCTCACGGGCCTAGCCGCTCCGCAGCATGTGGGATCTTCCCGGACCAGGGCACGAACCCGTGTCCCCTGCATCGGCAGGCGGACTCTCAACCACTGCGCCACCAGGGAAGCCCGACAAGTGGATTTTTGTTCTCACAGCAGAGGCTCTTTGGTGCTTCCAGTCCTAAGACTGCTCACCTTTCTATTGACAGACCTCTGTCCCTGACCTGAAATAGGAAGACACGTGTAGGGTAGGGTGGGGAGGCCCTCTACCCTAATGGATTCACTTTTTTAAAAACTGCTTGCAAGTTGTTTCTCACCCATGCATGACTTCAGTTCTTATGGTCTTAAACTGCGTGTGGAGTTTAGGGAGACACTGGTGTTTTCTCCAAGGAGACTGTATGATACTGGATCCTCAGCACAACTGACCAGGCTATAGAGGGGGGAATGTTTTCTCCTTTCGCAGGTGGGGAGACTGGAGCCTGAGAAGCAGAAAGTCACCTAGGATCAAGGAGGGTTCTGGCAGCCCGTGGTGCTGTGGCTCTGTTATGCCTTAGAGCCCTGGGTCCCCATCCCACCCTCTGTTGGGCCTCGAAAACCTGAGCCCCCAAATCTCTGTCCCTTCCCAACACACCAGCCACCTTGTGTCCCTCCTTCTCCCCCTTCCTCATTCACTCCCACCCCCCGGGATCAACTTCTTCTCTGAAAAAAAAACACAAAGCCTTCCAAGGTGCCGCTTCTCCCACTGCGGTTCCCCAGACCCTGAGGACTTGTGCCAGGGGCAGGCGTAGAGGCTACCCAGGGCATCAACCAACTTTACTTGAAGATTTTGGGTGGCAAGGGAAGTTAGGGGAGTTAGGGGAGTTAGGAACTTTAAAGTATTTCAAACACTATTTTTATATTAAATGTTACCACGGAATAGATGAATTTAAAAGAAAAGGTAAGCCTTCCAAAAACTTCTGAGCTCTGCCCCCAGGTCCCTAGAATACCAAGGGTTGAAGACAGTGTCTTCAACCCTTGGAAGTATTTGGGTGTGGAAGTTTGAGGAGCTCTGCTCCAAGGAGTAGAAAAGAGTTTCTGAGAGGGGAGGAATGGTGGTGAAGCCCCCTCCTCGACTGTATTCCAGAAAGTCCCCAGTGAGAGACCAGACCTCATTCTGCTTTGTGGTTTGTTCCAGTGAAGGAGGAAGCAGGGAGGCTATGTCCTTGTGCCCTGGTTCCCAGCTGCCCCCAGAGCTGGGGCTGTCAGTGACCCTGCCTCTCCCCGTCTCCCCTCCTGACCCCCAGGGCCCTCCACGCCCCCATCTGACCTGCGCCTGAGGCCCCTGACGCCATCCACTGTTCGCCTGCACTGGTGCCCCCCCTCGGAGCCCAACGGCGAGATCGTGGAGTATCTGATTCTCTACAGCAGCAACCGTACCCAGCCTGAGCACCAGTGGACCCTGCTCACCACCGAGGGTGAGGGCTCGCGCCCCACGGCATCCGAGCAAGAGTTTCCCCACCCTCTCCCCACTTTCCAGCCTCCCCAGTGGCTGGTTAGTAGTGAGCTTGCCGCTGAGGTTTGTTCTAGGAGGAGCAGCCAGAAGCTACCGCCTGAGCGGGAGAAGCAGATTCTCTCAGGGCCACTTCCCAGCCCATCCTTGCAGCCCACCCCGACCCAATTCACCAACCCTGCTCTCCCTGCCTTCCCCACGCCCCCCCCCCGCCCCACCAGGAAACATCTTCAGTGCTGAGGTCCACGGCCTCGAGAGCGACACTAGGTACTTCTTCAAGATGGGGGCGCGCACGGAGGTGGGGCCTGGGCCCTTCTCTGGCCTGCAGGATGTGATTACTCTCCAGGAAAAGCTTTCAGGTAAGAGGCAGGAAGGGGTGGGGTCCATCCTGGGGCAGCCCAAGCTCTCCAGAGCCCCCCCCCCCCCCACACACACAGTTGACTTCTAACCCTCAAGCCATCTCTTCCAAGGTCCTGCCTCTGGGCATGACTACACTTTCATTGTTTTGGACAAGTGCCCTCTTCACCTGGTGTGGAGAGGACAAATTTGGAGGGAAGATGGGTGTGGTTCAGTGGTGATTCAGTTGAGAGGTCAGATTTGCGAGAGACTGGCTTGGTTTCTTTAGGAGATTGCTTTGGAGAACTGGCTTAGAAAGGTGATGAGATTTATGGGGTGGAGGTCTTGGGCAATGGGACTGGCTACGTAATCAGCAGGGCCTGGTGTGAAAGGAAAATGTGGGGTCCCTTATTTAAAAAGGGGGAAGAACTTCCAGATGGTGACAGCAGAGCATTAAACCAAGCCCAGAGCCCTTCTAAGCATGGGCCACGTGCCCCTGCAGGTGTTGCACACCTGCAAAACCAGCCCTGTTAGGAAGGCAAGAGGTGTGTTTCACTGAAAGGCCAGGCTGACGGGGAGGAGCCACAACTTCCGTATGTCCAGTGAGAGGGAGTAGTGGTGGTCTTTGTGAGTCCATGGCGCCCTCCTGTCCTGCATGAGAAGATTTCACATGTCCAAAGGGTGAGGCTCAGGCCAGGGGTCTCTGGAGGAAGCCGCAAGTCCAGGTCTACGAACCCTGGGTTCTCTCCCGTCCTCCATCTGTTCTGTTCCCTCCCTCTCCCCCGCCAGACTCTTTGGACGTGCACTCCGTCACGGGCATCATCGTGGGCGTCTGCCTGGGCCTCCTCTGCCTCCTGGCCTGCATGTGCGCTGGCCTGCGCCGTGGCCCCCACCGGTGGGTGAAGGAGCCAGTCTGACCGCACAGAGGAGAGGTTTCCAGAAGGGCTGCAGAGATGAGGGAGCAGGGAAAGTGGCCATGACTTGCTCTGGGCACTCCCAGGAGCCCCATTAAAGTTGACTCTGGGATGAAGGGGTTGGGGGTGATGACCTCATGAGAGTAGGGGGTGGGTTTAGGGAAGCCCCCCAGCATATCCCCTCAGCAAGGGCAGGCGTAGGTAGAGCTGCCTCTCTGCCGCTTCCTTGGTAGCCGCCAGCATCTTGCAGAGGGGGACCCCAAATCTCCAGATGCCTGGAGCCAAGGGAGGAAGGACCCCAGTGTAGTGTCCCAGCTGTTTTGAACAATCCCAGAATTTCTTATTCGTTGCACAGACCGGGAAACTAAGTCTCAGAGATGGGTAGGAACCTGCCCAGGGATACAGGCTGGACTAGATACCAGTCTCACCCCCACCCCTCTCTTTGACCACTGTGCTGTCCCCCATCTTCCCTTCCAGGGAAGCCCTCCCGGGCCTGTCCTCCACGGCCACTGCTGGGAACCCCACGCTGTACTCTCGAGCCCGCCTTGCCCCCCCCAGCCCCCCGGCTGCCCATGAACTGGAGTCCCTTGTGCACCCCCGTCCCCAGGATTGGTCCCCACCGCCCTCAGACATCGAGGACAGGGCTGAAGTGCACAGCCTTATGGGTGGTGGCGGTCCTGACTGCCGGGGTCACTCCAAGAGAAAGGTGAGCCTGGGTAGGTCCGAGCCCCACACTGTGGCTCATGCCCAAATAGGACACCAGGGGGCGCGAGAGCGCAATGTGTGACCCCGTGAGAGAGCCCCTTCCCTCCTCCCCCCTCCCCTTCCTGGGCCAGCTGCAGAAGAAAAAGCATACTCTCCCTCCTCCTTGAAAGGGTTGGGAGGGCAGGGAAGCAGATGGGCCTCCATCCCCGGCAGAATAGGTCAGCCTGGTTCTCAGGAAGGAGGGGAGGGCCCCCGATGGGCTGTCTGCGGTTGACTCGGGATGGCCAGAACACCAAGATCCCTCCTCATCCTGGGAGCTGGGGAGACCTCTAAGACCCGGCTCTCCCCAGTATGGGAAAAAGAGGCTGGTCAGTTTGGAGGTGGTCAAGTGGGACCGGGATCCGGATAAGGTGGGCCCACACAGGGCAGGTCCCCTCCATCCTAGCAGTGGTCGCTCATCCTGCATTCCCTGACCAGCCAGCTCAAACCCCTGAGTCATTCCCCATCCTTTCCCTGCCTCTGTGGTGAAGGAGACCCTGCCTGGCTCAGAAACCTCTGGGCTTTTCTGCAGGAGGATCTTTCTATCCTCAAATTCACCCCCAGACTCTCAGCCCATTCTGTGCTTCTCCCTACAGCCTTGGGGAGGGAGGTAGCAAGGGGGCCAAGAGAGTCTGTGAAGGGAGCTCCATACACTTCCCTCTCATACTTCACAGTCAAGCTCTCAGTGCTCCCACTTTTCTTCCTGTGCAGATCTCCTGGGCTCAGCACGGTGGGCTGAGCTGGGCAGGTTCCTGGGCAGGCTGTGAGCTGCCCCAGGCAGGCCCCATGCCCTCTCTGACCCGGGCGCTTCTGCCTCCTGCTGGAACCGGGCAGACGCTGTTGCTGCAGGCTCTGGTGTATGACGCCATAAAGGTCAGCGTCCCGGGAGGAGCGGGGAGGGAAGGAGAGGAGGGTCCCCGCGTTTGTGCAGAGCAAGTAGTGAATCCTCTGGAGAGCCCTGGTGGTAACTTCCCTGGGGCTAAAAGTCTAGCCAGCAGATCCCTGGAGCCTCTAAAGGTGAGTGGATGGAGGGCAGGCCAGTTTGGGAGAAGCTGTATTTCTCTGGGTTGGGGACAAGCCTTCCTCTACCTAGACGTAAGTGGGCCACAGCAGAATTACATGGATCTGACGGTGCACCCGGCCTGAGTGCACTCAGCCCTTCCCCCTGTTCACTGAGGCCCTGACTGAATCTAGTACTTCTGGAACTCCTCAGCAAGGGCAAATGCGTAGTATTTCCCTGCCTTCCCAGGGATCTGATCATCATCTCTTTTAGGACAGTCACCGTTCTTCCTTTACTAGCTCCCATGTAATGTATAACGGGCTCTGGGCTGGGGGTCAGTCTCTCTGCATCCCAAGAATGATGGCTGTCCTTCTGATGGTCACTCTCAGTGATGGTTTTGTGTTCTCTTCTCTGACCAGGGCAATGGGAGGAAGAAGCCGCCCCCAGCCTGCAGGAACCAGGTGGAGGCCGAGGTCATTGTCCACTCTGACTTTAGTGCATCCAAAGGGAACCCTGACCTCCACCTCCAAGACCTGGAACCCGAGGATTCGCTGCCTTCAGAGGCTGCTGACCTCACTTTGGGTGTTATGAATCTCAGGCAAGGGGCAGACTGGCTGGACAGGGAGCTGGGAGGGTGTGAGCAGGCAAGCCCTGGGCCAGACAGACTTACCTGCCTGCCAGAGGCAGCCAGTGCTTCTTGCCCCTACCCGGATCTCCAGCCCAGTGAGGCTCTGCAGGAGGCCCCGGGGAACAGCTGCCAGCCAAAGGCCCCCTGCCCTCCAGCAGCCAGCCCAGGCCTGCCCAGAGCCCCAGTCTCCTCCTCTGCTTAGCTCCCTCGAGGGCACAGTTTGGGGCAGGCTGGTATGGATCGTGGGACATGACATGGGTGGCCACACATGTACATGTGTCTGCCTGCAGGTACTGACCATCATCAAGCCCTTTGGAGCCTCCTAGGGTGCTCTGGCTCAGGGGAGAGGAAGAAGTGGGTTGTTCACTCTTCCCCACCCATGCTCTGTGACACGTGTGGTAGGCGAGAGACACGTGAAGCACAGCTATACGTGCTGTACACGTGTGAAGCGCGTGTGCGTGTGCTGGTTGGTGAACTGGGAAACCTTGGCCCGGGCAGTGGTCACTACGGCCTACTCCGTCCTCCAGGTCAGGACAGTGCCCAGCCCTGTGGGCCCCCACCTCCGTCACCCAGCCTTTTATTACACACTCTGAGAGTGTCTCCAGTGCCCTGTCTGACAGAGACAGCCCCAGCCCACTTCCTGTCTGGCTGGGCTGAGTGCAAGCAGGCTCTGAATGCCTAACGCTTTAGCTGCATCACCTCTGCCATGTCCCCGGTGCCCAAATTGAGAGGGTGACTCTGGCTCCCCTCAGAGCAGCTCTGCATCTAGTGTTGTAATTGGGGAAGTGCCTGGTTTTGAAAATCTGCTTTCTCTTGCTCTCCCCTCCTTCCTCCCCGCTCACTCCTCTAGTGCCTGTCTCCCAGTCGCCCTGCTCTCCCAATCCTAGCGCCCTTCTTTTCCTCCCTGATACCCTTTCCTTTCCTCTCTGCGCTTTCTCTGTCTCCTCTTTCCGTCTGTCTCTGCTGTCTCTCCCACCTCTCCCACACTGTGTCATGTGGTTCTCCTGCCTGGGTTCAATCTCTGCATCCTCCCCTAACAACATGACTACCTCATGTCTGTTCAAGGCCAGAGCGTGACTCCTGTGTCTGCCATCCACTTCAGCCATCATCCTCCCACCCCCTTCCCATCTGTGCCTCCATAGGCCCCCTCCCCAGGCAAACTGCCTACCCCCAGTGCAGTTTGGAAAAGACCTTTCAGCTTCCCTTGCATCTTTCTGCCTGTGATTGAGATTGGAGGGTTCTCCTTGGAGGGGATAAATGCAAGTCATACAAGGGGGTTTTTGAGACAAGGAAAGGGGAACACGACCCAGAAGCTTGGGGTAAAATTACTCCCTCCCTTCTAGGCAGGCAGGCAGATTTGCTGGACAGAGGGGTTTGGGGACCTTCCTTCCCAGTTGAAACTAGAAGGGTAGAAGGGGATGGAGTTCCATGGCCCCACTGCTTCCCACTCTATGCACCTTGAACATGAGCTGACGGCATGGAGGTGGAAGGAATCTCATCCTCTTGCAGTGCTGGAAGGGAGGGCTTCACACAGGACAAGGGTGATGGGCTCTTTTCATTTTGTCTTTTCTTTAAATTCAATCCTGAAGTCATTTTCTGTTGACCTACCACACAGGGACAAGCTTGACTTCTGTTTCCTGTGGAGAGAAAACAAGGTCATTTATTTGATTTTGCACCTCAGCCTCTCATAGGAGCATCAAGTATGTGGTCTTTTCTCCCTGCATTCATCTTTTCTAACTGAGCAGCACATCAAGGGTTAACTCTGGCTTCTGGGCCAAATTAGAAATAACCAGTCTATCTTTCCTTTTTTTTTTGAAATGGCGAAATGTCTCTCAGCGGAGTTGCAGCTTTCTCAGACCCTTTCAGCATTTGTGTTTATTACACTCGGGTGTCACTCACGTTTGACATCCGAACCTACATTTCCTCCTCCTCCCCCTCCTTCAGGCAGCCTATGATAACACTAAAGATTATTAATGTTGGTTTTGTATCTCATTAGGACAGAATTGTCACTTGTACTATTTCTGTAGCATTCAGCGTTGCTGTGGCTAACACTACTGTATATGTTTCATCACTGCTCTGAAGGTCAAAAGCCTCATTTTATTTTGCTGGTTTGATTTTTTTATTTTCTAAAGGAAAAAAAAAAAAAAAAACTGCCCTGAATTAAATGGCTGTTTTAACAGTAGGCTCTTAGCATTACACCACATAGTCATTTTTCATGTTCTTGTTTAACAGGCAGTAAGGTTCTGGTTTAAATTAAATAGCTGCAAATGAGACAATTTATAACCCATTAGGTTGGGTGGAAAATTGTTTCTCAAAAGCAAATAAGTAATAAATCTGGTATCTGCCTATAACTCACAGTTGATAAGAAAGTGGCCATTACTCACTAGCATTATATATGATTTGGGCTCTGGGTAATTTGGAAGTGTTAGGCTTGTGTCTTTGCAACAGCATTTTTATTAGAAAGAGTCCATTGGCCTTTTACAGGGTATTAATCCCTTTGTCATCTACCATTGATGCCTTACGGTTTTTGAGTCATTTAAAAACCTTTTCTTGATGCATGACAAGTGTAATCAGTACCTGCTCATTTATTTGTCTGTAGTTTTGCTGTATTATTTAATGATTTTTCCAGTGTTTTTTTCTCTCCTTACAAGTATGATATTCTTTAGTGTTAAGCCAAGGCATTGATCATGTATCTGTCCCTATAATGAGTTAATAAACTATTTTCCAAAAATGTTCTCTTTTGGAACCAGATGACTAGAATTTCCTCAGCCTTTCTGCACGAGAGAATGTATTTCCTACCAGGATGGGAAATGTTGGTTTTTGAGGGAAAGAGCAGGTGGTTATAAGAAAGAACGGATCTATCTCTGAAAAAAAGGTAACCCTTGTACATTGCTGATGGGAATGTAAATTGGTACAGCCACTGTGGAAATCAGTATGGAGGTTTCTCACGAAACTAAAAATAGAACTACCATATGACCCAGCAATCCCACTCCTGGGTATATATCCAAACAAAAACAAAAACGCTAAGTTGAAAAGATACATGCACCCTACTGTTCATAGCAGCATTATTTACAATTGCCAAGATACGGAAGCAACGTGTTTCATCAACAGAGGAATGGATAAAGAAGATGCGGTAAATATATACAATGGAATACTGCTCAGCCATAAAAGAGAATGAAATTCTGCCATTTGCAGCAACATGGATGGACTTGGAGGATATCATGCTAAGTGAAATAAGTCAGGGAAAGACAAATACCGTATGATATCACATATGTGGAATCTAAAAAGTAAACAAATGAATATAACAAAACAGAAACAGACCCATTAGACATAGAGAGTAAACTAGAAGTTACCAGTGGGGAGAGGAAGCGGAAGGGGCAAGATAGGGGTAGGGGGTTAACAGGTACAAACTGCTAGGTATAAAATAAGCTACAAGGATATATGGTGCAACACAGGGAATATAGTTATTTTATAACTATAAATGGAGTATAACCTTTAAAAATTATGAATCCCTGTATTGTACACCTGTAACATATAATATTGTACATCAAGTATACTTCAATAAAATAAAATTTTAAAAGAGAACGGGTTACTCAGAATCCTAGGATAGGAAGCCTCCCCACCAAAAAAACAAAACCAAAAACGAACTGAACCATCTCCCTACCTCAACAGGCACTTCAGAAAAGCACCTAAACCTAGGAAAGATGCTTTCTTTGATGACACTGTTAGGCTCTTCGGGGATCTCTTTCCATCTGGACACACATTTTTTAACTTTCCTGGGTGCAAGGGAGGAGTGAACCACCAACTCCGGAGATTTGGGCTCAACAACTCTTCTTTGTTAACTCTGGTCTCCAGAATTGCCCATGGCTGCATGTTCACACATGTGGGCACTGTGCCTACAAGCTCAGAGACCCATCCTACATGCACTGTCACCTTCACAAACACCCTTGTGTCCATTAACTCAAACCTAAGCACAATAGTCACACACCAAACTCCACACTTAAACCCCACACACATCTCAGGATCACAGCTGGCAGCTGCTCTGTTAAGATCTTTACAGTGCCTGGAGTGTGGTTGCTTTTCTACTGCAGGGAACCAAGAGCCAGAGGCTGCCCTGCCCAGGACCACCCCCAAAGTGGCTAGTGAGCCAGCCCCAAGTTAATTGACAGATCATAGGGAGAGATACTGCACATTTTGCATGCAGGAGAATAGCCATTATTTGCATATCACTCTCAGAGCAAGCGTTGTGATAAAGAAGAATTAAACACTTGTCAAAATGAATTTAAAATGACAGCATCCCAGGACACCAATTTGACCTCTCCTGAGTCTAGGACAAGCCAAGAAGGGGTTGTTGAGAATTCAAGCCCTGCAGGAGGGAGTTCCAGGACTTTGGGCCCACGGGAGGGCCCCCCCTCCCCTCCCTTTCCTATGGCCAATGGAAGCTCATCATTCCTGCCCTTCCTCATAATGAGATTGGTTTGGAGCTTCGGAGTGTGCCCGACCCTGAATTTCTCCATTGCCTCCTACTGCTTGCTCGTGTGTCTCAAGTCCTGCCTCTCAAGCTCACCTTCCAGTTGCTACTACAGAGTAAGGAGTCCCTGGGCTGCACAAACCCCATCACTAGTAAACTTATCTGATTTCTGGAGGCCTTTTCTTTACTCATCTGCACCAAAGTTAGTTTTATATATGGTTAACATTCCTGCTCCAAGATTCCGGAGTTGGTATCGAAAGAGAGATGTAATTACTCCTCTCCCAGACCAGTCCAATGCCAATAGCTGAGTGAGGCAGAGACTACTCTCTTTAAGCCTCCTTCTCCTTGAACTTAGTAGATGCTCAGTAATTTTGATGGACTAGCACATCATGCTGGACTCAACAGAAGATCATTTAATAGTGAGTGGCCGAGACTGAAGATCTCTGAGGGCCCGCATGGGGATGTATCTCCTAAGAGGCATGCCTATCTTCCATAACACTTCTTACCCGAGACTGATGCTGTCTCCTTTTATGTTCTCTGACATGAAACCTTGAGTCTTCTTTGTGGCATAGAAATGTTACTGGGAATTTTAACTTTCAATATGCTTTCCCAGTTACCAGGCTATTTGTCATGACCTGTGTCCTTTAAATTTCCCTATGAGTGAGCAGGGGAGATATGATTATCTCTCAGATGAGTTCCAAGAGTGACTGCCTGGGTTTGCGGGTCTAAACAGCGGGCAGAACATCGGAACCGGGTCACTTAAGTGTTCTCATTGTCCTGTTGGTTCCGCTCTCCCAGGGCCCGGGATGAAGCTGCCTTCCCACTTCTCCTACCTCTGTCCACCCAAGCGGCAGAACTCTTCAGTCTGAAGAGGCCAGTCTTGCAGCTAAACGTCCTAGCCTTTGGCTGGAAGGACCGGAAACCAAAGGAAAACCGAATCTTTGACAACTTTGTGCAGCTTTTAGGGAATTATCTCGACAATATAGACTTGGACACGGTGCAGGAGGGCGCAGCAGAAAGAGTGGGTCAAAGGGAATCCCGCAGCTTTGCGGGTTTCTCCGCAGCCCAGACCCATTCGGCGGTCCGCTGGGTCTCCACTTCCCCAGTCGCCCCCAAGTCTGGGGCTGGTCCGCGGGGGAGGGGTACGGGGCTGCAGCTCAGGACGGCGCCCGCCGCTCCGGCCCCAGTTCAAAGCGCAGGGGGCGCGTCCGCCGCGCAGCCGGGAATGTCCGGCCGCTTAAAGCGCTCGCCGGCTCTTTTGTTCCCCAGACCGGGCCTCCGGGGAGAGGGGGCTGGGGGAGGGGACCGGGAGGGGAGGAAAGGGGGGGCGGCAGGCGGCGGGAAGAGGGAGGGGCGGGCGCGGGCGGTGCGAGTGCGGAGCGCGCACCCCGGGCGAGGCTGACAGATCGCCGGGGTGGGTGCAAGATGGCGCAAGCGGCCGCGCTCCCCCTGCGCCCCCGGCGCTCCTAGGCAGGCATGTGGCCCCAGCCCCCAGCCGCCCGGGCTCGGCCCCGGCCGGAGCCCCGGCCTCGGCCCCGGCGCCGGCCCCGCGGGACGCTGTGAGCCGCGAGAGGCCCCAGAGCCGCGCGTAGCCGAGCCGAGCGGACCACGAGCCCCATGGCTGCTCCGCGCGCCGCGCCCCCGCGCTGCCGGCCCCGGCTCCTGCTGCCTCTGCTGCTGTTGCTGCTGCTGCCCGCGCCGAGCGACGGTGAGCTAGGGCGCCCGCGAGCCGGCGGCTGAGGACCGAGCCCCGGGAAGGGCGAGAAGGGAGTAAGCGGGCGCGAGGGGCGGACCCGGGGAGAGCGGCGCGGACCTGCGGGTCGGAGGGACTTGCCCGAGAAAGGGAGGCGAACGGGACGGGGCGCTGAGGCCGGGTTGCCGGGGGCGGCAGGGGAATGCTGAGGATGGAGCCCCCCCGAAGAGAGACCGGCATTCCGTCCGCTGCGTCTCCAGGACTCAGGGCAGTGCCTGAGCCCGGACTGAGGAGCAAGGAGCGCGGCAAAGCAGGAGCTCGGCGGGCAGGCTGGAGTTGGGGAGAGGGGGAAACGAGCCATGGGAGACCACAGGGCTGAGGCCCGTCCGAGGGGGCGCGCTGGGGTGCTTGGAGCCCAGGGGTGGGCACAGAGTGGCCCGAGGCGGCCGAGGCAGCAGACGGCAGACCCCGGGGGCGGAGGCCGGGACCGAGCGGGCTGCGCTGGGCGGAGAGCACGTCGTGGATTTGGAGCCGGGACTGGGACGCGGAGTGCGAGGGAGAGGACGAGGAGGAGGAGGAAGATTCCCGGCGGGCCGCGCGTGGGGAGGGAGAAACCCGAGAGACACCCCGCGAGCTGAGGAAGAGGGGAGAGAAGCCGACCGAGGGCTAGCGAACGGTGGGGATGCTCACGTGCCCGCCCTGCCCCGGAGGGTGCACACGCAGAGCTCGGGGTTTGCCGGCTTTGCCGCCCGGAGCTCCGTCACCACCATCCTGTTCCCTCAGTGGCTGTAACGGGCCCATCTCACGGGAGAGGGGCGCAAATCTAGTCCCTTCCCCTCCCACCCCAAGTTCTCAACAGACACTCCTCTGGGCAGTATCCTCTCCCCTCTTAGCTCGGAGAAGCGGAGTATCGCGGCCGCCTCTAGGAGAAACTTTATCCCCCAGTTGCTGTACTGGGCTTGGGGTGGGGAACTGAGGCTGCTGAAACGCAGTTCCTGGTAAAGATGGGTAGAGATTTGAAGGGGCGTGACCCTCAAATGTCTTAAAATACGAATTACCTATCCCTGAGGGTGGGGGAAACGCCCCTAACCCCAGCCTTCCTCCTTCTTTCTCCCCACCCTCCGCCCCATCTCCCCCCAGCCAGGGAGGGCGCTGGTCTGTTAGGGACGGGCCAGCTCCCGGATCGCTAGTTCCCTGGAAATGTGAGGAGGGGTCTGTGGATGCCTTTTCAGCCCAGGTGGGTTCATTCCTCCTGGAGTGAAGTTGTAACTGGTCTGGTAAGTTGCTCGCTTGAGAAGTCGGAGACTCGGCATCATGCCTGGGATTGGAGCTCTTGTCCTTCCTCTCTGGCTTCTTCTGATTCCCTGACCACCCTCCTCCCTTCTCTTCTTTCACCTCCTCTTCCAGTTCTTTCCTCTTCTGCAGGAGGGAAGAGGTTGCTGGGAGTAAAGGTTCTAGGAACCTCCCTCTTTCTAAATTTTGGGAAATCTGAGTAGATGTTTGGTATCCCTCATCCTCCTATGACAAAGGCAAAACAAGAAAAGCAACCAAAACCCAGAGCATCCTAGGGGTGGGGCAGTGGAGCTGGACCATCGCCTAGCCTGTACCTGGTACTGGGCCCACACACCTTTCTCCCTGCCAGGCATCGGACCAGGCCTCAGATGGTTTTGCCAGCAAAATGAAGCAGTGATTTATTACTATCTCACTTTATATTTGTTTAGAAATTTTAACTTTTCATAGTGCAGTGCCTTTGAGTCTGGTAGTCATATTTAACAACCCTACAATGCAAGCCATATTGTTGTTCCTGATTTAAACAGACGAGGACCGAGAAGCCCGGAGAGGCTGAATACTTTACCTGAGGTCACACCCTGAAAGTCTGTGAGGCTTCAGTGCTTAACCAGGGTGACCGCAGAAGTGGCAGCGGCTGCATTGTAATCAGTGTTGCTTTTAGAGCCCAGATTTGCAGCTGTTAACTCTGAGGCCTCCAACAAGTTGCTTAACATCTCTGGGTTTCAGTTTCCTTTTCTGTAAAAGATACAAATAAAAAAAAGATGGTAGAAACAATATCCATTTCTCTGAGATGGTCTGTTGATTAAGTAACTATACTGCATGAGATGCACAAAGGTCTATATATTAATAGAGATTCCTATTAACATCACAGAATGATGGGGACACAGATCCAGAGAACTTGGAACACCTGTGTCTGCTCATTCCACACTAACCTCTCCTTTTCCTCTCATCTCCCCCGCCTGATGCAGGTCTCGGCCACTCCGCCGAACTGGCGTTTGCTGTGGAGCCAAGCGATGATGTTGCAGTCCCTGGGCAGCCTGTAGTGCTGGGCTGCAAGGTGGAGGGGACCCCTCCAGTGCGAATCACCTGGAGGAAGAATGGGGTGGAGCTGCCCGAGAGTACCCACTCCACCGTGCTGGCCAATGGGTCGTTGATGATCCGCCACTTCCTGCTGGATGGAGGAGGCAGCCCTTCAGACGAGGGGGACTATGAGTGTGTGGCTCAGAACCGCTTTGGGCTGGTGGTCAGCCGGAAGGCTCGAATCCAGGCTGCAAGTAAGTGGGTGCCCTTACTTTTTTTTTTCCAGGCCCTGGGGGGATAGAGGGAGCAGTTCCATCTTATGCAGCTTCTGGAACCCGAATTTCTCAGCATGGGTCAGTTGAGAGGGGCATAGCAGTAATTTGCAGTGGTGGAATTATATCTTATACTCATTTAACTGATTGGAATGCAATTTGACAAGAATGTAGCCAGACACTGTTGTGGGAAGAGGGAGAGAGAGACAGCAAGCTTTATCCAGTTCTTGGGTCAGTGTGTCTTAGTTTCCATATGCCTGTATATTGTGAGCATCCCAGTCTATTGAGTATGATTTTTGTGTTTAAATATAAACAGTTGTCATACTTTGGAGATAATTTAAGAGATGTTTTTTTTTTTTTTCCTTTGCGGCACGCGGGCCTCTCACTGCTGTGGCCTCTCCCCATTGCGGAGTACAGGCTCCGCACGCGCAGGCTCAGCGGCCATGGCTCACGGGCCCAGCCGCTCCGCGGCATGTGGGATCTTACGGGCACAAACCCGCGTCCCCTGCACCGGCAGGCGGACTCTCAACCACTGTGCCACCAGGGAAGCCCTTTAAGAGATTTTTGAAGGGTAATTTTGGTTACATGCAATTTTTCATTACGTGCTGACTTTCAAACCTTTTGGGTAGAATAAAACCTCACTGTACCGGTGATGACATTCTGAAGCTTGTCAACAATTTGCTTTACAAAAAATATGATAGAATAATTTCAGGGTTAACACAACGATGACATTACTCCCACTCACCTTCATGCTGGTGTACTTTTTAAAAAATTTCAGCTTTATTGAGGTGTAATTGACAATAAAATTATGAGATTTTTAAAGTGTACATTGTGGTGACTTGATATTTGGTGTGCTTTTTAGATTGGGAGAGAAGAGGTGTTTCAGCTCTAGACTTGTGCTTTGCTTGTGCTGTTGGGCCACCAGTAATTGTGGTGATGAAATGATGGCTGTGCTTTACTGCCCTTTCCTGCAAAAAGTCTGTTGTTGTTGTTTAATCTGTATACACTCATTGTTACAAAACAATGAATCTTTACATAAACCAAAATTATTTATGTATCTTGGGAAGGTGGCAGGCTGTGAGGGTGGGCGGTCATGGTTGAGAACCACTGCTCTTGAGGAAGGGCAAAAGTTTTGCCAAGTGGAAAATGTTCTCCATCCCATATCTCTATGCTTCTGTGTGTGTGTGTGGGGGGGGTGTCCCTTAAAGGGGTTGCTTTAACTTTGGTTGGTAATCATTTTAGCTAATACTTATAAAGCAGGTGCTGCATACTGGGCTCCCTGCCTAAGTGCTTTACATGAATGATCTCATTTAGTCATCGTGATGACACTGGAAGATAGGCAGTTATCATCCCTCTTTTACAGATGGAAAAACTGAGATTTAGGGGGATCTGTGACATTCTGGTGAGCAGAGGAGCCAGGACTGCAGTCTAGGTATTCTGAACCCTGCACAGTCCCACTTAGCTCCTGTGGCACGCTGCCTCTTCCCCATCTGATCGCTGACAAGTTTCTTCCTGGCTCTGAGGGCATTTGCACAGTTGCTCTGAACGGCTGGTGAGTGATGAATCATTCTGAGGCAGGAGCCCTCTAGTTGGGTTTAAGATGCCCCTTTGTTCTAAGGAAGGCTCATCCAAGCCCCCATATGGAGCTCTCTGGGAGGCAGCTCTGGACCTTGAGACTGAATCACTTCTGGCTCAGCGACCCCTCATCCCCCGGTCCTCCTGGCGGTGTAGGGGAAGGCTGGTGCAGCTTCTGAGCAGATGGCTGGGTGTGAGGAAGAGAAGCGTGGACGGAGTGTAGGGACCCGAGGAAGATTTTCGGGCGGGAGAGAAGAGACTTCTCAGGGAGCTGCTCCCTGGCTTGTGTCCACACTGAAAGTTAGATGGCCCCTGCATCACCAGCCTAGAATTCTGGGAGATGAATCCCCAGGTGTTTATATATAGCTAATTGTAAATGTGCTTTTCTGTAAATGGTAATACCTTCAAGATGTTTGGCTTCCTTAAACTCCTAACAGTATAAGAAAAGTGAGCTGTGGGCTCTGACTGGGGGAAGGGCCAGTGGGCGAGGTCAGCTTGGTTAATCCTTTGGGGTCCTGGGGACAGCTGGGGGTTTGCCTCCAAACACGGGCAGTCTGATGCGGCCTCTCTCCCCCACAAGGCTCGTGGCCCCATGGGGAATGCTTGGATACCAAGCAACCGGGTGGCTGGATCCCCTTTTCTTACTTCATAGGCTGATGTCCCTAGGAACCTCCAAAGCTGATTAGCTGCCTGGGTTTTCTCCTTTGGTAGTAACTCCCTGCCCGCATGCCCGCAGGCAGGGCAGATGTTGTGTGACATGGGAGGGTGCCTTCTGAAAAGGTGTGAGGTGCCCTCCAGAGCCCCTGATTCTCCTGCCTGCTCTACAGGGGCTGATAGGGCGGGGGTATGCTAAGCACCTCTCACAGACACACAGTCCACCCAGTGGACTACCCCAGTGAGGCAGCTAGGGGTCCAGGTGAGTGTGGGCAGGTCTGCTGGGGCATCCAAGCTCTGGGCCAGAGGCCGATGGCTGGGAATGCCCCCTCTCCCATCACAGTGGGCTCGGATGCTGTCATGGAAAGATGGCCTGCCCAGGATGGGCTAGACTACAGGCTGATTCCTTGGGGGCTTTAGTTCCAAGTATCTCCTTTTTAGGACAGAGTGGCTCAGGGTCCTAGGAACACTCGTGCTTCCAGCACGTCTGGTTTCTCTGCCTTGCCGTTCCATGTGTTTATAGTTTGGGGGCTGAAAATTGAGACACTTGTTAAGGATGAGACCCTGGACAAGTTAATCTCTCCGTGGCCCAGTTTCCTCACCATTATGTGAAATGTGCATATAATCCTGCTTTGTAGGATGGTTGTAAGGACTAACACACCCCATGCTTTGCCTGGCACAGAGGAGGCACTCGGTAATGGAGGCAATACCTTTTTCTTCATTTAAAGGTGATTCCACTCGTGTTGCCAGCAATAGCAGACTGCCTGAATCCGCTCCCAGCCCCCCAGCTTTCTCCCGCGCTGAGATTCAGTTAGGGAGTACTCTAGGGAAATCTCTCAAGGAGTAGAATTATTGGAGCCAGAGTACAACCTGTTCTGTTTTAACCCCTTTGTGGGAGGGCCTGGGGATTCTCCCAAGCCTCTGAGCATCGTCTGAAGCTTGGCTGGCCTGTGAGACCCTCTGCCATCCCTCTGGAGGGGCTCCAGGAAGGGCATGTGGGTCACCCGATCCAGTGGGAACATGCATTGACTCACACCTGTTGAGGTCTGTGTGCCTGGATGACTCCAAAGAGGGATGGGCTAGCTACGAGGAGGGGGGATGATTGGGAGGGAGACCCACCCCCAACTCTCCTCAGGCAGATGCCCGCATTTCCTGCCTCTCACTTCCTGGCCTCAGTTCTTGGTCTCAGGCCCCTTGGGAAACTGGAGCTAGATGATCTAGATCAGGACTTCTCAGACTATGCCTGTGAGTTACCTGGGGATCTTGATAAAATTCAGATTGTGAATCAGTAGGTCTAGGCCAAGGCCTGGGGTTCTGCAGGTCTAACGAGATCCCAGGCGATGCCAATGGTGCTGGCCCACAGGTGCGGAGGAGAGCCCCCTCCCATGTCAGAATCACTGGTGGGGGTGGGTGGGTCTGTGGGCAGCACAGTGAAGTCCGTAGAATGTGGGCTTCAGGGCCGCACCTAGGTGGGTCTGAGCCCCAGCTCTGCCACTCACTGATGATGTGTCCTTAGCAAGAGTTACTTTTAATTCTCTTGAGTCTTTGTGCTCTCATCTGAAAAGAATGAGCATAATCCCATCAGCCTATCAGGGCCGTCGGAGGATTAAATGAGGTGATGGATGGAAAGCACCTGGCACGGGACTTGGCCTCTAGGAAATGCTCATTAAGTATTACTGTTAGTGCTAGGTATTGAGCGCTAATTTAGGATGAGGACCAGCCTGTTCCAGTGCAGGCAGGGCTCTCAAAGAGCCAGGAATGCCTTCCCCGCAGCCTGGGGCCATCCTGATTGGGGTACCCAACAATGGTTATGAGGGTGGGCTGTGGAGGCAAACACACCCCCAGCTGGAGGGACTTGGGTAACTGGACTCTCTGAGTCTCAGTTTCCTCATCCTTAAATTGGAGGAAATAATACTTAGCAAGGAGGAATGCTATGAGGATGACCTATGAGAATATGCGTAAAGAACTTAGCACAGTGCAGGGTACGTAGAAAGTGTTCCTTAGATACTATCATTATTCTGGGGAGGTAACAGAGGTGAGAAATGTGAAGTTCTAAGCTCCTTTAGATGTGATGGTTCCAGGAAGGCACTGGTGAGCCCGACTCCTAGAAAGTGGCAGCGGAGTATGGTGAGAGGAGTGGAAGTCCAATTCTAGTCCCCTGCTGTCTCCAGCCCAGTAAGTCACCTACGTCTCAGGCCCTCAGTCACCCACTCCTAAAGGCTGAATCATTCTCAGCCTGTCTGAGGGAGGACAGCTGAACCAACTACTCTGGAATCTCTTTCAGCAGCAAGACCCATGCTTGTGTGGATCTGGGGGCAGGGTCTGGGCATAGGTCTGTGGAACCAGGTCTGGGTGGGGGGTTGGGAAAACTTTGGGCTGGAGCTGCCGGGTGGTACAGCTTGTGTGAGGGGACCCCGGAGGGCCTCAGTGTAGACAGTGGGATGTGCAGGGAAGCGGTTCCTGGCACAATGGCTGGTAACCCTGGAAGCCTTTGTCACCTGGAGGCCTTTGTCACCCAAGCTTTTCTTTCCCCCTTGAGGGGCAGCTCAGCCAAAGTAACCCTGAGGAAGTCTCCCCTCTGCCCCTTGCACGCGTCTGCCTACCCATTAGAGCAGGAAGCAGGTGCTGCAGCTGAGGTGCTGCCGGTGTGATGAGTGAGTGGCCATGACAAGGCCTTCTCTCACGCCAGGCGGGTCACCCATAAGTATGCTGTGGCGCAGAGGTAGGTGCAAATGGGTGAGGGTCGGGGCCTT